CACTCTCACAGTCATCTGTTTTTCATGTTTTTTTTTGCCAATACAGAGTTAATGACTTGGTATCTGAAGGGTCATATAAACTGTTAAGTTATTAAAAATGTGCATATTAAAGACTGGTTTGTAATAAATGCACAACATCCATGTGTTATGTGATTTAATGCATATGGGGAATGGATTACAGAAGCAAAAACGTTTTGGATTGTTCAGCTATTTTAAGATTAATAAACTGAAGGTAAGCAAGTTGAGTCTTTTCTCCCAAATATCTGTTAAATGTAGATGAGAGAGGCAGTGGAGATCTGAAATCTGCCATTCTGAGCTTGTACGTAGTGACTGCTGGCCCATCATTTCAGGTTCCAAAAAGTCAGCACAACAAAAGAATTTCTAGTGATGGTGGAACACAAGATTCTTCACTTCGTCTGTATTTTTAAACCTGTTATTTTGGATGGCAAGTTTTGGATCTATAGCTACTAATCTTTCAAGAGTTCTTTTGAAGCCTTGGAAAACATTGTAAATTCTATTTGATAAAAACATGGTTTTGAGTTATCTAATCAGTTTCTGTATTTAGAAAGCTTCTTACATCTATTTGTGTGTTATTATTTAAGCTATAAAATTAAATTTGATGACTAACTTTATGATTCAAAGATGTATTCAGTTCAAAATGTAAACAAGCTCCTGGCTATAAAGTGCGCACCTTCAACCTTTGACGCATAGCTTGGTGTCATAGGACAGTCTCTCTTAATTACTGTAAGGAAAATCAAATAACTGCAGGTAAGCAAACATGTCAGTCCTACAAGAAAGACCTGGCACTGCCTGTATTTATCATACTAACACGTTTTAACATGTAGCATGCATCATCAGTTCTAAACAAAAAAAAAAATCAGACCACAATTGTGATGATAAACATGTTTAACCATTTCAGGGCAATTTGATTTTACTCACTGCTGAAGCCTACATGACGTAGATGTGCCAGATGAGCTTCTGTAGATTACTACAACTGTTTCAATCGTTTGTTTTCTGCAACAGGTCTCCTAGTATGTATAGTGATATCTGGTGATGTCAATTCTCCTAATGAATCTACCCTGCAAATAGAATGGCCCCATGACATAATAGGTGTCTTAAAGACACCATCGCACAGGAGGTGCCTTTCGGTGGTTCATTATGGCCTGTAAGTGTGTTGCACACATGGAATTATGCTTTGATCAGACCCACAATATTCACTTTGATTCTGTCAGAAAGCGTGTACTGTATATCTAAGGTTTTTGTCTGTCTTAATTGCACACGTACTGTATATATCAGAGAAGTGGGGAAGGCAGTGTAGTTGAAAAACATGTATTTCATTAGACCCGCTGCCTGATTTATGAGGGTCAACAATTTGTGTTCCCTAAGGTGAAGGATTTTATATGTGTGTTGCCTTATTTTTATAACTCAGTGAAACAGGAAGCGATGGAAAGCCACAGCAGAGTCCAATAATAAATTCAATTTAATTTTTTATTTATGAGAAATAAAATTCCTTGTTTACAAACCCTTTTCTCTGAGCAATTGAATGAGGACACAAGAACTGCTTGTACTATATTTCAAGCACAAAATATGGCTCATGACCTGTGTCATTACTGCTTTTATTTTGCTCATCTTTACCGAGCTTGCAAATAATTTAATTTTCGAGGTGACGGCGTAGATTAAGGATGTCCGTTTCATTTTGCTACTGTACAGTAGCTCATTCTAGTTTTAAGATGTGCATTATTAAGAAATCAAGCTATTAATTATATACTCCTGACACAAACTCTCTCTTTGACCCCATATAAATTTGAAGAACTTTAAAACAGCTATCAGATTTGTCCTTGGATATGAACAATGTGTGTACAAAAGCTTACAAATGTTAGGCAAGTTATGTTATTTTCTGATTTTTATAGGAATAGTATTTTATTTAATAAATACAAAAAAGATGTCTCTCAGAAATGCCTGTTTGATTTCTACAAGCCCTTGCATAAGAGTTAATCTATCAGAGAAGTTAGTGATGTTTTGGATGATCTGTCAACGGTGAGTGGATTTAACCGGCTGTAAGAGAGGATCATGTGGGTCGCGCTGAAAGCTGTGAGTGAGGCAGAAGCGGCAGAGAGAGGGCAGATAGTTGCTGGATGCATAGGAGCTGATACGAGATGCCAACCTTCTCTGTGATGTATAAAGGTGCTGTCATTATAAGCAGGTAATGTAGAAAGGACTAATTACTGGGTGACTCATGTATGTCAGTGTGCACTAAGGTACACTGCGTGTGCAGGTCTGTCTGCCTTTTTGCAGGGATAAATTTGTAGCTGTTCAGTTTGATGCACATATTGCCAGTGTTGTAAGAGGATTGCAAACGTTGCGTTTGTCCTGTTTTGATATATGAATGTCTGTGCAGGCTGTTGTGTTTAATTTAATTAATGCTTTTTTGCTACAGTATACATCTGACATGAACTTCAAGAAGAGATGTCATAGTGCTGTTGATTTCAATTCTAGTGGAGGTGCTTGCATTGAGTAACTATTGTTACATCATGGATTAAGGGTTAGCTTCTGTTTTTTCATCTCACTGCTGTGTATGCAATTGTTAGGCATTTGTTTTGATTCCTCAGAATGTTATGAAAATGTGAAATAATAACAGAAGGGAAAAATTGGGGAGAAAAAAACCGCAGACATTTAAAAATGTTTTCTAAAACACACAAGAGTGTACTTCAAAGAACTATCAAATGGAACTTGGTTTTTATCATTTAGGAGTATATTAAAATAAGGAGAGATAAGGCTTCGTACAAAACATGAAAATGCAATATGTCAAATAATAATATGCAATCTAAACGTTTTTACGTTTAAATAATTTTGAGAGGCTTAGTTAATACAGTTTTGCTCAGAAGTGTGCAACAGTTCCAACATAATAATGATTTTCTATTTTGAATGGGTGGGTGATGGTCTAAACTCTTTACCTCTACTGTATTTTATTTGTATGTTTATTGCCATTAATTATTACTACAATCTGATGTTACGATATAAGCTTGGTCACATCGGGAATAGTAAATTATTAATTGAATCTTTAATTAAGCTAGCCACTTCTAATTATAAAAACAAGGAAGCTTATTAGAAAGACCATTATATTAATCAAAACAGGGTAATTCAACATTTCTAAATAGGTACATTAGTTGCCACACCAATGTGGATTTGTATAAAGACACAAAAAGAGCCTTTAAATCAGACACTGTTACAGTTTTCATGCATTTGTCAGAGACTCAAGATAAAATATTAACGATGAAGGCTCTGGGGCAAGGCAACCAGCCCAGACCGTGTTTCCTGTGAGTGTGGCTGCAAGGCTCCATGTGATCTCTCTTCCACCCAGGAATGTGTGTCAGTCTCTACAGACAACACCAGCTTTGCTTATTGCTCTCATTCCCGGTTATGTTTCCCTCTGAATTTTAATGTAAGCTAATACCCATACTGTATTTTTGTCTTAATAAGCAGTCTTATTTGGAATAAACGAACCCACAGCTTTGTTTTATTTTTAATATTGTTGTTTGAATTTAGCAAAGCGTTAAAACAAAACAAGAAAAACCATAGCTATATTTCTGTCCTGTATGGTGAGAAGCTAAGATTGATCTAATAGTGATTTAGTACTGTGATTTTAGTGCTGTGATTTTAGTATTAATTGCTATTAATAAGGGTTAATTACTATTAATAAGGTGGCTATACTAAGTGGGCAGGTGAAAGTTAACCTTCAGCATTAATCAGTATTGTGAAACATTTCTATAAATCGTTCAGTGCTGTACATCGAACCATCGACAAGTTTAGCTGTAAGGTACAAGATTCAGAAATCCGTTGGCATCAACAGTGAGATGTTGGATCAGATGATACAAGTAAAAACTAAATGGAAATGCACGTAGGACTCAGAATGGGGGGCTTCTTTTACTTCAAAGAGCTGAGAGAGTTTGGAACTTATTATGACAGAATCTGGAAGTTCCAGAGTCCCCAAATCAAGATGCTACTAGCAGTCACAACTAGACTGGCTGAACAGCCTCCACTGGTCTGTGAAATGATAAAATCACTTGGGTATATCCACCTCGGACTGAGAAGGTGTGTCCAGTTTTGCTGTTTGCACTGTCTAGGATAAAACTTCAGCTGTTCTTTCAGCTGTAAAGAACAGATATCACATCTGAGGTCATGTTTCCATTGGATAGAAGGAAAAAGCTTCTAAAAAAGAGGCTTTAGGTCAAGGGTATGTAATTTGCAACTGGAGGCACGAGTTGAACTTTTGAAATAGTAGAATTTAAATGGATAAGCAACTGAAAGTGACTCGCACACATTAATATTGCGAATTTTTGTAAACTGTATTTATGTTAGTCCTTATGGGACTATGGTAGTTGCAATAATTGTTTAATAATTGTTTTTCAATTTAGAATAAAAGATTTACTTGTCCTCGATCCTCAGGGGTGGAGTCATCTAATCGCAGTGCCCAGAATTGCTCAGTCCAGTTCTGATGCTTGGTCAAGGCTCCCCTGTTTCGATATCATCGGTCATCTTGCAGCTTTCGGTTCCATTCTCCGGTGTGTGCTTGGCCCTTAGACTGCGGTTCAGGTGTGCTTGTTCACTGTACACACGAAGAGCCTGCCATCGGGCTGCCTTTGTTGTTACTTGGTGTCCATACTCTCTGAATACTGTTGATTTTTTCTGCCTGCCACAGCAAAGGTTGTGCTGACCTCATTTTTAAATCTTGTAAGTTCACGATTGTTGAAGTAAGTCTCACAGATGTATTGTACAAGAACAATCTCATTTTCAGGTATGCATCGAAAGTTACTCTGGATAAGGGAGTGTTTTAAACAAATACGGTATTACAGATACCACTAAGTAATGACTATGATGACGATATTAATTTTCAACTCAAATACGTCCTCAAATATTTCTTTCAGATATGCCCAGATGATGGACATGTTTTGAAAGTGAAATGCAAATTCTCTGTTTTCTTCTGATTGGTTTGCACTCAGGACACTAATGGGGCCCTATGGAGTGGATCGAGCTGTTCATGCCTTGGACTTCACCGACTGTGAAAATGGATTAGGTGAGTGACTGTTACTGTGGTCTTAAGGATAAAGTTCCAAATAACCCGTTTTTTCATGCTGATATTGCTCGTATGAACCCATTTTGGACAGTGTGTTTTGACTTGTTAAGAATTTCTGATTCAGACATTTCAGGTGGGTGTCTGCATCAGCAACCTTTACTTGTTCCTCATTCAGACAATGACAGTGATAATCCAACAGTACTCTTTGTAATGACAAATGAGAACAGACAAGCTGAGCAATTTAGCTGGCACTGGGAGAAAAATAATAGATTATCTCTCATGGAAGAGGGGGCGGGTGAAAAGGGTGAGGAAGGGCTGTGGGAAATGTCAGCCGGAGTTAATAGTGTTGGACACAAGGACGTACAGAAGCAGTGTGCGAGCAAGAGGTAAACTTCACATTCAGAGACACTACTGTATCGCCAGACACAAGCTTTAATGATACTGTAAGCGACACAACGGTGAGGATCTGCTGTGCAGGTGAAAGCAAAAGCACTTGAGTCTTCATCATAGAAGATCCAAAACCCAGAGACAGGTCCAGATCTGCTCAGATACTTCAGCTTCCCAGGCTGCAGTTTGAGTCTGAGAAACGGCTACATGTTTTTGCCCCGCAGTTTGAATATCATGGTGCTCGGAAAAACATGCCAGGAGTTAAGATGTGTCAGCTAAGCTGTGAAAGATAAGTTAGGGATCACAGGCCCCTGATGATCCTAGGAAAAGTAGCCAGTAATCCCAGTCCTGTGACCTTGTCAGCACAAGTAGTTCTGATGATTTCCAGACCTGCTCCTGGATAATCACGGCGTATTTTAGTTTTTCTCCAGTTGTTTGCAATCACAGGCTTATTGATCTTTTGTTTTCAGCTCTTGAAAAGGTTGAAAGGGATTGGAGTTGCTGTCAACCCTGTGTTAATTTCTCAATTTCAGACCTGCTCTTATTCAGGTGCACTGTGGGAAATATGACTAACCGCACCTTTGGAAAAGGAAAAAAATGCTCATTGCTGGTGTGTCATATGCTGTCATTCAGCATAAAATTAAACAAAACAGAAATAAGGAAGGAAGCCTTAATAAGCAATTTACTGAGAGATTTTATTAAGTTCTATGTGCTGAAGTTGTGTAAACCATATGTTTGATGTTATGTGTTTGTAAACTGAGGACTTAAACATGACTTAGCGCATAAACAGGCAAACATTAGAGCAACAATGTGTTGCTCTAAATGAGCAAGCTGATCAGCTAAAGTCAATTAGCACCAGTGATTACCAGCTCAGTTAGACCGGCAAGCAGCAGAGACTCATGGATCTCCGTGACCAAGGGTGGCAGTCACCACCCTGGGGGTGACACTATTTATCCTTGAAGACACGAGTGGAATGAAGAAGCAGAGACCACAAAGCTAGAAATGGTGAAAACTGCCTTCTTGAGAAGTGTCGCTAAAGTCCCAGATGAATCAGAGCAATCTGACTCATGGCTTTCTTTAAACACGTAATTGCTTCAAGGACCAAGACAGTTGCTGACTAACAGCATTGATTGGTCTGATCAGTGTAGCAGTGAGAATAGGGAGATTGTGTGCTGTGTGGACATACTGTAATGGAAGCTGTGAGAAGAATTACAGTACGGTGAAAAACGTAAACCCGCTTAAGATATAATAATCTAACATGTTGACCTATGTGCCCTTGCCTAGTCCTCACCAAGTCCTAATAGGAGATAAAACTAACCTCATTTGACAAAAACACACAAAAGTTTCACTCAATGAGCATTCAGTATCTTTCTGTGAAAAAGCAAGTGCACTTCTTGATTCAGTAACCTGTCGCACCGGATTTCGCACCAGTAACTTGATTTAAACATTTCCCGTAAGAGCTCGTCCATCTCTATCCCCTGGGAGACATTATGGCCTTGAAAGGATATGCAAACACGGTCTACGATTTAAAGAAGACGTGAATGTGTCAGATGACTTGTGTCCGCTTGAAATCACTGGGCTGAATATAGTGTTTTGGTCTCGTGTGATCAAATGAATGGGGCAGCATGGTGGTGCAGCGATGGGCGTTACTGGGGTGCTGTCTGGGTGGAGTCTGCATGTTCTCCACAGATTCTAGTGGGTTTCCTCTGGGTGCTTCAGTTTCCTCAGGACACATACTTGCTGGTAGGCTAGTCGGCTTCTGGAAAATGGGCCCTGGCGTGATATGTTCTGGCTCTCCTGCGAACCTGAACGGGATGAAGAGCTCAGACGTTACCCCAAATTAAAGCTATATACTTATCGTGCATATTAATCTCATGATCACCAATACAAATGGTATCACTATAAGTAAATTTGAGATTTGAGTTTTTATGCAATTTTTTATTTTATTTGAGTTTTATTTGAGTTTCTGTCCAATATTTTTTTCTATTTTGTACAATAGCAGGGCGGGTAGCAAGTGATACACATGTATAACGATATTAAAGGTCAGGGACATTTGACTTCACTAAACATCAACAAAAAATAAAGCAATTCTGCCACACATTTATAATGGTAGTAATAAATTAACATGTAAGAATAAATGTCATTAATTAATAATAGCTTTCTGCATGAGGTTTTTGTTTTAGAAATGCTAAGGGGGATATTTTTTATTTGCACAGGAATTAAAGTTATTGGAGGAGTGAAGGAATTAACTGGAGAAGAATATGGTGTTTATGTGAAAAGGATCTTACCTGGTGGACTTGCTTCAGGTGATGGTAAGCAGTGCTCATCAGTGTACTGGACTGTAGATGTCATATTTCTGTGCAGAGTGTTTCCTTGTGTGGCCTCCCTTCCTCATTCCTGTGACACGGCGGTTTCTCCTTACTGAACTCCAGGATGTTAAGCTTCTTGAAATAGTTGTAATGGCTAAGATGAGCAGTTTGCCCTTTTTTATGATACTTTCTGTGTTCTATTCTATTTTTTCAACTTTTACAGTTTTCTGAAACAGCGCATAATCACCATTAAATCTGTGATCTGAGTTTAATGAACCTACATCGCAACTACACATAAGTTGTTTCCAAGTTTTACCTCTGACAGCACTGTACAGTACTTGCAATCAGTTGTGAAGATTGTTTGCATGCCTCAAAGGCACACTGATAAAAGCCTCCTGCTCATTTTATGTCATCATTTCCTTTACCATTTAGTTTTGCATTACTTAGCTATTGATTTCTGAAGAGTGGAGTGCAACACAGACAAAAAATAAATCTTCTGAAGTTCGACATTGGATATCATATGGTCCTTCAAACTAACTTTCAAAGAGCTTGCAGCAAATGCATCAACTGATAATTTCTAGACGGGCCCTTCTATCAAAGCATGTTTTAATTAAATTGCTTGGGACATTATATTTGGCTTTATTTAATGAAGGAAGATGAGCAATACTCATCACATAATTGTAAATCAAGGCATCTGAAAGTCAAATGTGCTTTATCTCAGATTAAGGCTTTAAACCATGTATCACTGAGAAATCCAGACAGAAACGGGGTAAGAAGTCACCACATTATCTTTCATAAAATTAACATAGTGACTCAATTGACAACAGTTCTAAAGAGCAATTATTCTGGGCATTTATAAACCTATTAAGTCTGTATTTGGATTCCGGAAGAGTTTGAGAAGCTGCCTATATTTTTGCCTGAAGTTTGTTCCATTACAAATTCCTCTTACAGCAGTGAATACCCTCTCATGCTCTGATAAATCTGAATCATCTCAGCACTCAGCTTTTATACTGCTGACTTGCAGGATTTGTTGACTCTCTTTCATTTATTTCTGCTAATGTCTGAATTTTTTTACTCATAGCTTTTATGGATGTTTTCTGTTGTGAGCGGCTTCGTGTTTGTGTGGCTACAGAGAGTTTACAGTATCTTGCCAGGGCTGCTCAAAGACGTGCAGTCTGAAAGTCTAAACTCAAATGAGGACAAGACTCATTTAGAAATGGCATTATGACACTTATCCCAAAAAAAGAATATCTCAATTTATTTTCACATAAAGCAAATGATTAAAAATAATGGAAAAGTTTTGATTACGCAGTATCTAGAAAATTAACACATACATATTAGAAAAAGACAAATCCATTTTCCTTTATCCTGTCAGATTTTGAAGAGAAGATGGAATTTTTTAATATACAGTCGCAAATGACAGTCTCTGGTATATTTAATACAAGGTAAAACCACTTCTAAAGGAATCATTGTCCCCATTTGAGTTTAGACTTGCTTTCAGATTGTACATGTCTTTAAGCAGAACCATTCGCCAAAAAAAAAGGTCCAAGAAGGAAATGCAGGAGCTCCAAGAAAGAATGGTCTGATGGTGATGTTCCTTCTCCATTTCTCTGTCTTCCTGTCCTCTTCGTCTCGTCTCTCCTTTGCTCCGGTGTTCATGCTGTGCTCTGAGCTGATGAATGTTCCTGCTTTATCCATCTTCTAACCCTTCTTCCAGTTCAGGGTCTCACAGGAGCTGAGCCTGACCCGACCCACGGCGGGCTCGAGGCAGGAAGCACCCTGGGCGCTGGGCCAGACACACACACTCACACCAGGGCCAGTTTCCCCACAAGCCAACTAACCTACCAGTCTTTGGACTGTGGGAGGGACATGGAGCACCCAGAGGAAACCCACGCCAACATGGGGAGAACATGCACACAGACAGGAGGCCTCAAGGCTAACTACAGCGCCACTGTCATAAAATATCAATAAATTGTCATTTTTTATTATGGCTCTAATGATTTACCATGAGTTTAATTAGCCTTGGTGTATCATCAGAAACAGCCTTCGATAGGTGCGTGTGTGTGATCATCATCACGTGCCTACAGCTAGACAAACACTTTGAATAAGACCTTGAGCAGTGCGACCCAGGTGCGAACAGAAAGTGTTGTTAGACTTTGTCATCCCCCTGGGTCATAACAATACATATGGCTCAGAACTCAAGACTGCAGTTGTCATTTTTTATCCCATATCAGCAAAACCTGAACACTGGAAATTAGAAGTGGATTGATTTCTTTTTATTTTAAATTTAAGTGTTGTCTTCAGATTCCGGAGATGTGGGGAAAAATCCATTCATGTTTCATCACTTTTGCTGATTGTGACTTAAATCATTTTGCTGATTGGTACAAGCAAAATTTATGAGACACACTATAGCCATATAACCAGTTCACTGCATGCAATTGGTTTCACTGAAATAAATCATCTAAGGATTTTATATTGCATCCACGATTCATCCATCAATAATACTAATATTAACTAGTAATATAATAGACACTTTCAACCTAAACTCCTTACTCACCATCGTATGTATCATCATGTTACTGCTCCAGAGCCATCTTCAGCAGGAGCTGTTTCACATCCAAAGGATTGTTCTTCACCTTCCTTGTGTAATTACAATGTAGCAGCCTTTTGCTAAGCTAACCATCCTTTGAGTGTTACAGTTTTGGTCTTGAAAAAAGTGACATTGGCTCCTAATTGTAAAAATATTTTCTTAAGATCTAATGATAATTGGAATCCAGCAGGGCGTGGTCTTTCAGGCCTGACGATGAGGAACATTGTACACACTACAGTATGTGAGAGTATAAGAACAGAGGAAAGGCTGTAATATCTTCTTCATCCAAGGATCTCATGAGTAGTTTGATCCAGACCCCCACCTCCCTTCGTCTCCTGTGTCCAGTCCTACGTGTTTGCAGAATTTAACACATCTGTTTACCTAAGATAGAGAAAGAACATTTATTTCTATTTATAATGATAACTCTACATATCTCTTGAGCTCTTTCTGTTTTCTTGTGTAACTGTAACCGGGCTAGCTAAAAAGAGAAAGTTTTTAAACCAAGGAAAACCTTCACTGTGACCTCTTTTAACATGATAAATTGTTTTTTGTCCGGAGTATAACACTTGAAAAGGTTGATAACCCCACCCTTATCAATGATAATCATAACACTAGTGCCTCACACTAAAAAATGTGCAACAGATAAAGTTCAAACGCTGTATTACGTTATCCCAGGATTATTTTCATGTCACAAAATTCTTTGATGTACACATAATTTGAATGCGACTGGCGCAGTCATATGGTGGTTAGCACTGCTTTCTATAAAATAATTGGATCCTGGGATTGATTCCAGACTGCTGTGTAACATTTGCGTGTTCGTGGAGGTTTTTGTCTGGTGCTCCAATTTTCTCACAACTTCCAAAGCCAGTCTGACTAGGTGGATTGGCTTCTCTAAACTGGTCTTGTGATGGACTGGCAGCCCATTCCCATTTGGTGCCCTGTTATTCTTGGACAGTTTACAGAGCTGTAATACACAAATACACAACTTTGTGAGAGTGGATGGGAAAGGTTAATGTTCCATTAATCTGCAATTCATTTGAGGAGTTAGAGGAAAACTGCATCTAAAAGTCTGCTTGTATTCTTCTTGTTCCTAGAAGCTTCTAAAAATTCTAAGTAATGTTTACTTGCAAATCATCGATATACTGTAATAATGACCTGTTCTGAAATGTCCGTAGCTGTTAAGTTTTTTTGCATTAAGTTATATCTTTTCCTAATTCAATACTTCAGGGCATCTTCAGCCTGGAGACCAAATCTTGGAAGTGAATGGGGAGAGTTTAATTGGAGTGACAAGCGAAAAGTAAGTTTAGACCACTTTCAGATCCTATAAACTATGGATTGAAAAAAAGCCTTTAAGATGTTCCACTTCTCACAGTGTTGACAAGTAAATTACATTTATAATAAATTAATTTACTTTGAATTTCCTTTTGGAATGAATAATTATCATTGTAGTTGAACCCGTAACTGAATAATATATGTTTTTCTATTTGTCAGTTATTTTTACTTGAACTGTACTGTACCTCGCCACGGTACAGATCTGTATGTCAGCATTGTTATCTAAAATATACAATAGATCCACTTAGCTCATAATGCAGAATGATATTTAATTAAGGCTTCACTGTAAATTGTGATCCCTTTCAGTGTCAGAGCAAAAAAGCTTTGTTCATTCCTATTTTATAGGGCGGTGGACATCCTCAGAGCTGCATCAGCTACCAATCACATGCGCCTTCATATTGCCAGGGATGAAGAAGCGAGGTGAGCAGCTATAGCTCATATAGCTCATATGTGCCTCTTCTTATGAGGGACAGGTCTGGAGTACGAGCTGCGTGAGGAAATGGGATGTATGATGTTTCTGCACAGGAAAACAAGAAAAAGGCTTAGAGAGGAGAGGTACAATATTCTTCTGGCTTTAAACCAGCTTACCAGCAAAGACTTGGCAATCTCTAAACTTCTCTATTCATAATGCTCTGGATCCTTAAAGAAAGGTGTTGTCATTTTTCTGCTGGAGACGGACTGGTCAGCGAAATGTGCTCTTAACCAGAAAGTCAGTGTCACCTGTGAGACCCCATGTGCTGGGTAAGAGACACTAAAGAGGGAAGCTGAAAACAGCAGTGGTAGTGAGCTGGGAATACAGGCAGGAACTGGTGCAAGCAAACACAATGAGGATTGTGGTCAGTAACAAGATTGGTTCAAAGCCAGAGAGACAGCGAAAGCACAACGTTCATAGTAGGGGAATCACATAGATCCAAAGCACGAACGGACAAATCCAGAGAAGTGATCAAGGTGAAACAGGGATTAAATATTCAATATGAAGCAGCACATAAAAGAACAGAGCTAGGAACAAAGCTGAGGTTGAAGCAAACTCTATACCAAGCCCCAAGTATGATCCAAGCAGACCTTAAATACCCTGAAACACCCGAGGTGGGCATGATTGCACATTGCTGCCAGGTGGTTCAGGTTTCCTGTAGAACATGTTTCCCTGGCAACCGGCACAGACTGACAGATGTGACTGACTGCCTTTGCAAAAGCTGCTCCTCAGCATTCCAGCAAGAGTGAGCCTGACAAACCAGGAGCAATTCAGTCTTGCTTCATGGAACAGAAAAAAACCAGACTTTTGTATTTACTAACGTTATTTGGCTGAGTAATCTCGCTTTGTGAAATACCTCCCTGGTGTGAACATGCTTAGATTGTATGTTTTGTGGATCTTCTTCAAGCACTACCCAGGGTAGTTCAGTCCCAACCAGAGACCAGAGGCCAGTGGGGGATAAGCCACAACATGATAAATTCGACTTGAATCTCAACTACATTCTATCAGAGTCATTTTGTGGAGGCATTCAGATTCTGGATCAGCAGATTACATTCATTTAAGGCAAGATGTACCCGACAGCCTACGCAGGTACCTTGGGTCAGAAGTGTAATATCTTGTTCTGGCTGAATGGATACACTAGAAGTAACCGGCTGTGTGCAGGGAATTTCCTCTCTATTTTTAAACAGCACTATTGGCATGGCTTGTAGCAGAAACTGCCTGTGTGGGGAAATGCATGTTCTTCTGACCTATATATTATAGTCAAAGAGGATATAGATGCATGCAGTTTTCAAAAATACCCAGATTCAATAATAATAATAATAATAATAATAATAATTGCACTTTTCTGGACACTCCACTCAAAGCGCTTTACAGGTAATGGGGACTCCCCTCCACCACCACCAATGTGCAGCATCCACCTGGATGATGCGACAGCAGCCATAGTGCACCAGAACGCTCACCACACATCAGCTATCAGTGGGGAGGAGAGCAGAGTAATGAAGCAAATTCATAGAATTTATTATTGTTGTGTTTTCACTCTTGTTTAAGAGAGGAATCCAAGGTCTAAATACAGTACGTGCCCATTACATTTAACATGTTCCCATAACCTGTCCCTTATTTTAATGTAATATCCACATTAAAATAAGGGACACATTTTTCAGTTTTAAAGATGAGGCAGAGGTAGTATAATATTTTTTTAGACATTTTCAAAGCAATTACTAAATGCAATGCCCTGGATTTCCAAACCGATTTTCATAGCTATTGTGAGGAGTGATACCTTCTGACATGCAGTCAATTATTTGTTCATTATGAGACTGAAAACTGATTCCCACCTTGAAGTAAAATCTGCAAAAAAATGGATTTTTGTTGGTGGACTTAGTCACTGAATTTATTCCATCCATTCAGATCTGATGGATGTAATACATTTTTAAACCAGTTCATTCAAAATCACGGAGATTAAAGGGGTACAAGCTAAGAGCTTTTAAAACAGACTTTCAGGCTCTCTTGATTACCCTGCGTTTCAGCACTCGATTAGTTCTGGACCCTCTCACCCCACCCAGCCCAATTAAACGAACCAGCATGTTCGGAGGGCTCATTGGTAAAAAAGGATGTAATTACTAATGGCTTTAATACTGCATTTAAAAGTGCCAGATAATCTTCTAAAAATGTCCTTTTCCATATTTAGAATAAATGAAGGGTAAGCCACCGTTGATGTGATTAAATTATGTTTTAACCTGGGAAGCACTATATGTAAAATCCTTATTTCTAAGACTTGCTTATTAAATGGTATCAGATAATTAAAGTAAAATTGATTTCAAAATAGACTCTGGAAAATAAGCTAAGAGGATAAATTTCCATTTATCAGTAGCTGAGGCATTTGTTTTACATTTCAGTTTTTCAAAGGGGTGTTAGTGACTGCTTACAAACTTGGGTGTTTTGCTTTTCGCCATTTGAAACTTTGAAAAATCAAACTTGTGTAATTGAAGTCCAAGACCTCGTGTTTTACTTTGTTTTTAACACATCGGGTCCTCAAGGCAGCTGAGGGTGAGTGCACTTCCTGAGCCTGGCAGTCAATGACAGTACCAGTGGCTCTGCGGCAGGCTGAGCACATGTTGAGCACATGAGTACTGTCCTGGTCAGAGTGAGCTCTCTCATCTGCTCCTATTGACAGTCATCCTGCAGTGTGTCTGGTTCCGTCAAGGGTTAAGATCTCTCAGGAGATGATATCAAGTTTGCAGTTCTTTGTGTTTGCTGTTCCATTTCACATAAAAGTTTGGTGTCCAAAGTTAGAATGATCTTGTAAAGCGTGGCTACTTCATGGTTGCTGTTACAAAAGGTAACCATGGATAAGAACTACATTTAAGAAACGTGAATATCAAATGGTCGTAGATTCATAAGGCCTCATTTTATCCTCAAGAGGTTAGCGTGGTTAAAAGGAATTCTGGAAAACCCGGACTGAGTTATTTTAAATTCAAGTATTTTTCTGACAGCTGATTGTGTTACAGCATTGAACATGGGAACTTCTGCAGTTTTATTCTGGAGATATTTATTTGACTGGCGTAACGATTTTCAGCAATATCTGGCCATGAAGAAGCGTGTTACAAACCCAATTATCTGATTGTTCTGTGCTACAGTTCCATGTGTCTATGGTTACCAAATGCACAGTAGTTCCCATCATGCACAGTCTTAAATAGGCTCAGTGAGTCCAACAAATTCAACCTCCTAAATATGGTGGAGATTTATATGGTGTTTGACTTCTCTTGCCCTTTTTTTCGATCTCATTCTACTGAAGCCACGACCTTGTAAGAATGATCAGCTCAGTTCCCTCCTGTCTCTGGGGAGGGTATGAAATAATACCACTCAAGAGCCGGACTACTTTTAAGGAAGTAACGGGCTTTGTTGCCTGTTGCAGATCAAGAGATTTATACCTGTGTTTTACATTATACATGAGAATCTAAGACTCAAACTGGGGAAAAGGGGTTGATCTGTTTTTTTGTTTCTCATTTAAAAGGAGAGAATTTGCTGAACTGCTAGAAAAATATGGCTCCAATAGCAACACTGGTTCGGCCCGAAGTTCCCCAATTCAGCATGGTAGGTGCTCCTTCAGTCCTGAGCTATCTACTGTATATATATAGATATTATATTGTATTTTACTACTGGAACAGTTTTCATCTCAGTCATTTTGTATTTGGTATAGTGCCCTTTGCAGCAAGTCAGCACAAAATACTTCTTACACCCATTACTTGTAAAGCATGTGATAATTTAGCATCTGGGTTGGTGGTCGTATATATTTGGGCAGGTGTACATTTCCCTTTAGGTATGAAATGATCACACGCTCAATAAGATAAGATAAGAACAGAATATAAATAATTATGGAAACAATCAGTAAAAATATGGATGGACATTAGGTTTGGAGGAGAGATTGACAAAACCTCCTGGAGAACACAAGCTCAAAGGTGGCCAAGGCCTAATAATTTGCCTCTCCTCCAGGCAACAGGGGAGCTTGGTGACTTTTGGGGAGTCTATCTCGGATCAGTGCTCTTCAGGGCTTTGATGCCAAAGCTGAAAGCAGATGTAGTGTCAGGAGCAAAAGGAAACAGTTCAGCGCATCCTTGGAGGTTCTGGGTCCACTGTCTTTCAGGGAATATCCATTGTGCTGTCATGTCACTTCAGCTTGGACAGGACAGTTCTGAGAAGATAAAGTGGACTTGTTAGTGCTGGATTAAGCTGTGCAGCAAAAAACCAGAGGACAAAAGCTTACGACCTGCAGTATGGTTGTGCACTGTAAGTGTGTGCAATACAGGCTAGGACATGTCACAAAAACCTGTACACAAAAAATACTTACTGAAGTATTCAACTGTGAACACATCTGTTTGAGATCTACAGTATGCCATTAGCTTTTAAGGAGACTTTCATATTATATTGATAATTATATAGCTTTTCTATAGGGCACAAACATTGACATACTTATTGTAAGTACTATATTTCAGTACTGCAATAAACTATTGTTTTCTATTAAAGTACAGTATACATATTTTCTTTCATTATTTTTCCATTATTATAAGCATAGGGTGGTCAAGTATTTTTTTCCTCATTAGAAAGATTAAGCTAGTAGCATATTTTAATTTTCTAAAGAATCTTTCTTAAGAATTTACAACGTACTGTTGCAGTGATTCACACATTGAAAGGACGTTATTTTGGCTTGTAGAACATGTGTTTCCTTAATCAGATGAAATAATGTTCCACTCAGCAGCTGTATTGCCAAACCTGGCCAGTATTTATGTCAAATACTATTAATATATGTACAAATTACACACAAAACTTTTATCTTTATTTCACACTTGTCATACAATGTTTTACTCTTCAAAATATGATAGTATGGAAAACTATGGTCAAGATAAAGCTAATTATACTGTCCTCTAGTGGTGTATCTAGTTACTGCTGTGTGTCTTTTCATTAAAAATAAGTAAAAGGCAATGTAACAGATTTAAATGTCTATTTCATGATTCTCTGTGATGACGTTTCCATAATTGTATTCTGTAGAGACTTACAGACTCCCTTAATTGGCCCAGTATAGTCAACAATCTATAGTTCTAGTCCTGAGAAATCTGAGATGGAACTTAAGTGCCATTTAAGCAATAAGTTCGCCATAGACTTTCAAAGACATCCAACTGTTTCACCTCTGCATGTGTACTGCTGTATGATACCACAGAAATGGTTTTGTGAAAAATCCAGACTATCCTTTTATTTTTTTTTTCACGTTGACCACCATCATACCTGTCTAGAATCTGCGAAATGCTGGGCTTACCTAACTTACAGCAAGCATGTGTTCTGACTCCCGATTCCCCTTCCTGTGAAGCAGGCAGATACTTGGACAGCACGTCTTCGGGGTCCTCGTCCCGGTCGCAGAGCCCGCTCCTCCTGAGCCCCGCCGGCTCTCAGAGCGGCCCGCTGCTGCGCTCCCTCAGGTACAGCAGCGCCCTTCGCACTCGGGTTCGACCGAGGGGCTCCGGCCTCGTTTGATAGTTAATGCAGGAAGCAGAATGTTTTTATCTGAGAATTTGAAACAGACCAAATTTTAATACAGATGATTAATAAATAATAATTAATAATCTGTTCTGTGTCAGTCTCCCAACCAAAGTTATTTGCACATATTTGTCCTCACTTTCTGGACATGACCTATATCCATTTAAACATTGATTCGTGATATCTTTCATTTTTTAGTAACCACTAAAATTCTGATACTTTGAATAAATAAGTGGCAGTAAGGTTTAAGAAGACTGTCCTATTAAAAAATTCCAGCCTGGCAATAACATTATCTACTATGTCCCTGAGGATTAGTGGGAGTGCTGTTACACACATGTAGGTTCAGTATTGGTGCAATGCTCTGTCATCCACATGCTTAGAAAATTTGCAACAAATTTGTTTCACCAAGCATAAAAAAGCTGCAGTATTTATTGAAACTGGGACAGCAATGTAGAGCTACAGCAGTCGACTAGTAATGCTAAATACCACAAGCTCAATTGCACAGTAACGGAATGTACACTTCCTGATAGTTAATACAACAATCAACACATTTTGTATTTGGTGAAATAGAAATGATGACAATGACATATTTATTTGTTTATGTGCTAGGCTAGATTGTCAGTTGTTTTTTTTTAATGGCTCCTAAAACTGCAAACAATACATTGTATTTTTCTCGTGAATAATGAAAAATATACAATATACAATATACAATATAACTGAAAACATATAAAATATGAATAAATATATCTAATAGTTTCTCCAAGAAGGCGAATGGCTTTGTCTTTAATACCTTGCAGACATATGTATCATATTGTAACGAAGGGGAATGTGTTGTGTTGCAGTCACCCCGGTGAAGGAGTTATTCAGCTGATCTCAGTGTCGAGATCCTCAGGCCTGGGCATCACCATCGGCGGAGGCTCAAACAGACCTGATGGGCCTGCTGTCTTCATACAGGAAATCCTGTCGGGGGGAGATTGCCATAAGGTAAGACACGCTGCGGAGCCGCTCCGGATCCCTCTTGTTTCGCACAGCTGTCTCAGAGTAATGCAGCGCTTCCAGAGAGTGTCTGTATCTCACAGCCAACTTTAAAAGCCCAGCGTTCCGTAGTTTAGAGCTGCAGAATATTCTTCTGCGCCGTATTTGTTTTATTCCCTTATCCCTGTACTGTGTGTCATTTATCTTGATTCACTTCTGTGAAATTCAGATTAATTGAAAGGGTCATTCTGTCTGGTGTAAGGATCTGGTGTTATGGACCCTGTCTATAAAGAAGAAATGGACTCAAAGACACACACAACTGGTGTGGTCCTAGTTTTGAGTCTTTTGGAGATTATTAAATGACTAACGGCCTACAGAATCTTACTATTTTCTGTAAAACTCATTCATCACATCGCATGGCATGGCTGGCATCACATGAACAAACAACACAACCAAAAAACCTCAGGTCATGTGCAATTCTGTTTTCAGAACACCTTTTTCTGCTTTTAAGATGAGCTCTGAGTAATGACTGTAAACTGACATCACCTAGGTGAGAGTTAGAGTAAAACATTGATAACAATATGTGAGACACTTCATGTGCTGCTGTATATGTATTTGTCATTAATGGTCTACACTCCAGTAGCAGTTTTTATGGAAGCGCGTTGCTGGCATCAAGGAAAAAAATCCAGGTGGTATCTCTTACTTTCCTTATGATGTGATAGCACACCTCCTCTCCACTAAGTTTTGGAAAACTATGCAATGATATTTAAGGCTCATGTTAACTTTTAGGGCCTTCGTAGCAGTTTGTGTTAGTCACACTCACATTGCAAGGCCGCCAACTGATATACGCAGGTGTTGTAATTTACCGTCACATTACAGAAATTTAAGCTTTGGCTAACTTCAGAAATCCCTGCGTCCTGAAAAAGTTATTGCTACTCTGTGCACATACAGAAGATAATATGTTTCTTGCCATCTCTTACAGGATGGCAGGCTGAGACCAGGGGATCAGCTGATTGCCATGAATAAGGAGTCATTAATAGGTGTGACACATGAAGAGGCCAAGAGCACACTGAACAAAGTGAAATTCAGGTATTTACGCGTAACAGATGTCAGTGCTGCATGCGTCATCCAACAGCTTTTATCAACACAAAATGTATTTCTTGTACGCTATTTTTGCAATTTTATTTATGTTCTGACCTTCCGTCTGAAGAACAAGACTAACTGCCACGCTAAAATGTAGACCCCATGTTGTATACACGCGCTGAAATTGAGAGGCTGCTACTTACTCAGCAACACCAGAGCTACAACGGAAAAGTAAAAGATTGCTGTAACACTTTACATACAATGTTGTGCGATGAAGCTACTGACTTTAAAATCAGGCGTCATATATTGTTGGTATATTGACTCTTGGAGTCCCATTAGCAGTTCGTAATCATGTAACCCAGGTTCACAAAGCAGTCTGAGGATGTCAGGTCTCAACCAGGTTATTCTCTGATCAGAGGCCTTTACTGAATTCAGGAACCCACAGTTTTTAACTGTGGAACATTTAGCTGTTCAAACATGCATTAACACTGAAGGGAAACATTCATTATTTGTGCAAGTTGACCTTGTCTGATCAAATACTCTGTTTTCTTCCAAGGCAAGAAGGAACTGTGGAAATAGCTTTTATTCCTGGAAAAGGGTCCTTATCCAGCAGTAATTCCATGCATAATGGTGTTCAGAGGAATGCAGGGAATGGATACAGCTCCAGTCGATTGAGAGTCCATGTGAGATCTCCTGAGGTGAGGTTGAGCTATTCAAAAGTGCCAACTATTTATTCAGAGAGCGGTATTTATATTTGTTCTTTTAGCATTTCTGTCATTCGGGAAAGCCTGCTTTGAGTTTCATAACACCTTGGGATCATTTAAGTCAGATGTTTTCACAGTGGGCTTTCAAAAGGAAATGGCAGAATTCGCTCTGATTACCCAGGTACTGACAGGTGGGGCAGGTGTGAGATTCTCTGATTTTCAAATGTTCAGTTAAACACTTAAACATGAACATTTTTTGAATTTTTAGTTTTGAATACAAATGATGAAAAACGTTTAATGTTGTAGAAGGACAGTCAACAACAGTTTGCTCTCCTCTCTCCAGACCCGACAGGAAGATCCACTGTCTGTGCCTTCATCATCGCCTGACTCCTGTGCCCCAGACATACATGTTTCAGGTAATACAGTCAGTGATGCCCAGGCTCTGCTCCTGGCAGGTCACCATGTTTAATTATATGAAGCAGTTTACATGATTTTCATTGTTTTTATTTGAACACTGAACTCTAGCCGAAACTGAGGGGAGCAGTTTGAATTCAGCATCTTACTGTATGTGACTTCATCCATCTGTAGTGTAGAGCGCAGTAATATATTCAAATAATTTGTTTTGCATTTTGTACGTTTTGTTGAAAACCAAGCTCTTAATTTTAAGTCGTAGCATCAATGTAGTGGTCTCTTGACAACCACACAGAAAAACCCTAGTATCCAAATTCCACCTCTTTTACAGTTTCTGTCATGCTGACTGGCTTTTGTGTTATATCACCTTGATGTTACATGTTCTGATTTGTTCTATCAAACCTCAATCCTCAGTGGCTATGTCAGCAGTAACATCAATAGCTCTTTTTAAGCTATCAAACATGCTTAATTTAAAAATTATTAAAAGCTTGGTTTGGAAGATGTTTAACATGTTTTAATCCTGATTATTTAATTGGTGATCCACTGCAGTATGGCAATCTAAATTACTGGTACGGACGTCTTTAAAAAGCCTTTGAAATTGTTGGTTACAGAGACAGATTGTTACTGGAAAATTTGGTGAGCTCAGAAAGTAATGATCAAAGCAGAGAGAAAATTAAGTTTGACTCATGAGCTTTAAATGTGCTTCTTAAAGCCTATTAAGTAAATGTCACTCTCAGCAAACCTGTATCAACATTCCTTACACAAGAAGTCATTCAGAGAATTTACTCCGTTGTACAGAAAATCCGTTTCCATTGGAATGGCAACGATTCCGCAAAAAATAGTATAAAGAAATCCTGGATTAGTCAGAATCTCTGGTTAAAATTTAATCATTCCTCCACCAGAAACTAATCTTATATTTGCCCTTCAGGGCAATCGTGGGGATAAAATGTATTTAGAATTTAAGTCAAAATTCAGTGCATATAATGGAATACATTTTTTCATGTGCAACAGATAAAAGTATTATCACACCTCATTACTGCGCAGAATGACTGGTAAAGACAGTGATTTACTGCACATTATGCTCTCGTCAATGCAATGGGAATCAGTACGGGCAGATTGCATGTTGCTATAGTTACCAGCTCCCTAAAAGAAAATTAACTTCTTGTAGCATTCCACACCAAAACACTGAATCCAACACGTTGTGAAAAGGGAAAGATACTGAGCACTGCAAACATACTGTCAAATATACAGTTTTAATAGAACGGCACGATGTTCCATTCAGACATTTTCCCCACTTATTTTTCTCATATCTTGGAGTTAATGAAATACGCTACAAAGAGGGGCTTGCAAGTGTATATAGCAAACCTTCCACAGGTTTCAATAAATTGACCTCCTCTGAGCTATTTTGAAAAACAAATGATTTCTCGAGATGTTTTGTTTAAAGGTATATCTGCCATCCGAGAGAGATCTACGGTATAGGCTTCAAATAGTAAATGAATGAATGAGTGGGCAAGTTCGTGCCTGTGTTTGCATTAGAAGATACTCAAATTAGAAGCAGGGTAAAGGAATTGGAGTTCCTAATAATAAATACAATAAAGACATAAAAAATAATAAAGACAAGCCGCCCCATCTCACTACGTTCTGTACACATCGCCACATCAATCAATACAAGTCAAGCTTCACTCTGCTCACTACCCCTCAAGCGTCAAGCTGTTACAATGCGCTGCCCGTCTGCATGGCTTGCTCTGGCTTTCACCTCCTCCTGTCTGCTGTTCTCTTTCTGTCTGCCTGCTTGCTCTCTGTTGCCTGTCTCTCCGAACGCACAGCCACCTGATTGATCAGCGTGGCCCTCTCCCACCCCACTCCAGCAGGGAACCCATCTGCCTCCTCAGCTGCTCCATTGCCAGCCCTCAGCCTGGTTGTTGCTCCCATGCGCATCTCATGGGCTTTCCTAGCTGCTCTACTCTCTCTCTGTCCTGCTTTTAGTCCCCCTTCAGTGTTGCCTTTCATACGGATTCTGGCATTAAGGCCTGAAGAAACAAAAGAGATATCTTCTCTTGTCCTCCATCTTGCATCTCCCCTGCCGTTCATGTAGTACTACGAGCCTCATCTCTGGCTATTGCTCCAGTACCACTTGCTGTTGGGGGGTCATTGAATTGCAAAGGCTGTTATTCTTTGTGTGTTTAAGATCCTGCTGTTAATCCTGAATGCTGGCTTAATCCTTTTACATGTGCTGGTGCAGCTCACTTTATTTCCTAAAGTCTTTGATTGCTTTCCAAGGCTCTCTCCAGAATCCTGATTCATAACGGCAGCTTCCCCTTCATGCTCCATCTGTTGGGCAGTTTATTGACTATACAGGACATTTCACTTGATTTAACCACTTGAGAGGTGTGCTTCTCTTGTAAGCTTCTTAACTGCTTTCCCTTGACTTTCTTTCACGAATTCCCATTGTGCACTCATCTTAGGTATGCAATGTGTATTCTACCAAAGGATTGTGGTCCCCCTTCCTGTTTGCTCTGTGGTCTTTCTTTTGTCCCTTATATCTCCAGCTCTCTCTCACTGCTGACTGAAATCCAAGGTTTGTCTTAGCAGTTCTTAGCAGATACTGGAATAGAGTTGCTTCTTTTCTGTGACCTGAGGATTTCCATACCTTCAAGCAAACTCTCTGCTTAGTGGAATCCAGCTGTGGCTTCCAAGGGCAGTGGAGTGAGACTCCCTGGCCAGACAAGCACTCCTGTTCTTCCTCATCTGTTTCTCATTACACTTCTTTGGTTGGGGAAATCAGTTCTTGTCCATTCTCAAAACCTAGTGGTAGTTCATATAATTAATCAAGCTTGTTCTTCCTCCTTTGCAAATTATGATTGTGCTGAGGTTGCTCACCTGATTTTGTTCTGCCACTGGTGTACTGATAATGTAAGCAGCTGATGCTAATATAATGAAGCTCCACTCCCTACTTTAAGACTTAATCTCATTAAAGAGATTTTGTAATATGTTTTGTAGTTCCAGTCCTGGGTTGCTCATCACTCTCCCTCCAGCGAATGGAGGACTTGACACTCTTTTCTCCCTGGGTCTCTTTGGTTGGATGTGCTGCTCTGAATTCAGTGCCTCTTCTTCCCACATAAAAAAATACTTTCCTAAAGAAAACCAAATAGAAAGACATGTTGTTCAAGACACTGGTTTCCTTTTCTTCTCAGATGCTCCTGAGCTCTGGCTTGTTTTGGTGAGCAAATCTTCCGAATGAACCTAAATTTTATTGTTCTTTGATCTCGTGCCCTCAAGGGATTGACAGAGCCAACCCAACACACGTCTTCAAATGAGCTTGACAATACAAGTATTTTGATGTTTTGTTTTTCTTTACATCTTCACATACTATTGCTTAATTTTTATTTCCCAATGCCTGCCATTGCATTAATTTTGGGGATGTTTCAATATCTATATATTTAAAAATAATTTGTAAAACATTTTGCCTTTGAATCCAAAGCTTAACTTAAACACACTGTTCCAGGGGTGAAAGGCTAGTACATGAATTCCTAGTGCCACCTGTTCTCTTGGATCAAAATTAAGCATACTCCTGTCTGCCTGGGATCGGTTCCAGTAGATTAACTATTTCACAAGGATTCGCAGGAGTCTGTACGGTTGTGTGAAGCTGGAAAGATTGAGTGTTCAGAACAACTTCCACCTTAATCACGATAGATCACTCATTGGTGTAAAACAAAACCTCCCAAAAGTCGAATGTCCACAGCACACTTTAATCTGTCACAGTGGAACTTCAACTGAGGTTTAGCAGAAAAAAAAAGGTTAACAAATATTCTTTTGGCAGGCACCTCCAGAATATATCAGGTGGGTACCTCCAGAATAGGTTGGGCTTGTTTCTCTGATGCTATTTCAGGATGTTTACATAAACACAGAACTCAGATGAGCTGAAATGCATGTACTGGCACAGTGGAGCAGTGGTCAGCACTGCTGCCTCACAGCGCTGGGGCCCTGGGTTCAGTTCTGGACCTGGGTGCCACAGTATCTGTGTGGCGTTTGTACACTCTTGCGGGTTTCCTCTAGGCTCCAGCGTCCTCCCACAGTCCAGAGTCATAGTGGCAGGTTAATTCTGGGGAACTTGGCCCTGGTGTGAGTGTGTCTGTCCTGCGATGGACTGGTGTCCCATCCAGGGTGTGTCCTGCCTTGGACCTGTTGCTTGCTGGGACAGACACCAGCCCCCTGCGACCCTAAAATGGACGGATCACATAAGATCTCGTAAGATTTTAATATGGACTGAGTGACGTTTTCAGTGTATCCATGTAAATCAGTTACTTGATATTTTTTCAGGAAATCTAATGAATTAAATGGACATCAGTGATCAGAGATTGGTTATAGAAAATGAGCGCTGCTTGCAAACGTTTTAACTTGTTTTTTCGTGCTCCAGGGTCAGCTCCATCACCGAAGGAAGCTGCGTTAGCAAAACCAAAGGTGTCTCTTGACCCACATGTTCGTTTGAAGACTGAAAAATTAGATCTGGTAAGTTCTAAGATTTAATCACAAATTCTTAGCTCAATTTCAAATAACATTTGCCTATTAAAAATATATTTTTTTAATTAATCAATTCAGAGTTATTTTACAGATGCTCTTCTGCGTAGGAAAAGATGTCGCAAGTACAATATATTTCACATGCTGTCTGCTTTTCTTCATGATTCGTTTGTTTAGCACTGATTTAATCTGATCCAACTAATCCAGTATCTGACCCTAATCTACCAGGCCATTAAAAGGATTATGTCTTGGAAGAGAACATTTTAATGTTAAATGAATGTGCAATGGTCATGAAGATAGTCAAATATTTTTTGAATGTTAACAAAAATTAATTTGTAAATGTGAAAAAATGACCTTAAACCTTGAAAGTAATCATGAGTGGCAAATTCAGTCCCTTGAAAAGAAAAGAGGTATAGTGGATCTTTGTAAATGGTATATGTTCATAAATCATGCTTTACAGAGATTCTGTTAGCCTTTATGCAGATCTTGCGTCTGTTAATGGTGGCCTACGCAGTCAACACGATATTGTTACTCTGTCATGTAAAAGCATAGTGATTCGAACCAGCTCTGCTGAAAATCACTGATGTTGTATTGCCATCTTGTGGGAATGGTTTAAAATGTCCACTGTAAGCCAGGTGCTCAAGTATAAGAAATGCCTTGTTCAAGTCAATATTCTGTTGTTGCATTTTTTTTAAACAGGCGCTAATATATCTGGGACTAGACGTTCCAGAAGAGGGAAGGAGAAAGTTAAGACAGAGCCTGACAACAGATCCGCAGGGAACAGTGGCCTTCGGAGGTGAGGCTGGATCAGAAAGGAATGATCATTTACAGCCTCGCTCATCACAGAATGTTATAACAAATGATCAGTAGAAAGGAGGCATGGAACATGATGTATCTGTTGTATTATTTTTGATGTGTAAGAAGAATATTTCTGTCACAGTGAAAATTACTTGAGGGAGAAATATATACAGTAAAATGTTTATATCACAGTATATCCCACATACCCCTCTCAGTCATGACCTCCCCATGTTTACTTCTCAGCATAAAACCTGTTTCTCAAAATCTTTTGAGATGACTTCAAAATTCTGTTCAAACAGTTACATTTTATTACAGTGAATGCATGAATGTATCCACTACCTTGTATCTGAAAAATCAACTTGCGGCTTTAGACAGTTTCAACTATGGGAGCACATAACAGTGATTTGTGTTTGTCGGGCAGATTTCGTGGAAGCCACCAGAGATGTTCTTCAGGATAAACTTGAGGAAGCGGGTCTGGCTCAGGGGCCGTTTCTCTTCTCTTACCACGAGGCAGCGAGTCTGATGGACACGTCAGCCTTCCATTCGCCTGTAAGTGCCGGGTTCCCCAGCAGGCTGGCCTGCAGCCCTCAGTGGAGCAGACTGGACTGCGGCACAATGTGTTATCTAACCGCTGCTGTTCACCTCTTCACATGGATTTATTCACTGTTGGAGGAGAAGATCGCAAGGTTTCAGTCAATTGAACCGTTGAAGCTTTCTTTTAAGTACTTAAGCCTTTTTTATAATGACTGTAGGCTTGTGGGTTTTTAGGCACATTTGTCCTGGTACTTCTTTAATGGAATTAATTAGCACTGAAAAACTGTGACAAACAAAACATTGGCATTCTGCTGACATAAACTCTCTGGTTACTCCACTTTTAAGATTTTAAGTCATTTGTCGTTGTTTTATTGCTTATTGACAAAAGGCATATCCAATGTCCCTTCTATTTTGCAGACATATGATTCAGAAAGGCCATGCAGCACAGACAACCTGGAACAGTTTCAGTCTGAGGTTGCACAGCTTCAGCAGCAAATGAAACAATTAAAGGCAAGTGAAAAATCTACACACAGCACAGTGCAACCAAAAATTATATATATGGTCTGATTTTCTCACATCGCCTTGGTAAAATTAAGTTTAAGGCTTATTAAACAGTTTATCTTTCTGGAATTATGGTTTTTATTTGACAGGTGTTACTGAAGGACACAGAGCACAGCAAGAACACACTGCAGGAGGAGCTCCAGAGGACCACAGAGGTAATGTTCTGGAAGCAGTGTCGTCATCTATTGCTTTTCTTTTTTAAAAACCTACCTAGAAACCTACAAAATCTTGATTTTAACTGTAAAAAAGTTTTAGATTATTCCCTGGTATGAATATAGCAAAAATAAAGTAGGGCATAGTAAGTAAACCTGTAGTCATTTGTAGTTACTGAATTTTCCTGTTGTGTCATTAGTGACTTTCCCGTATCTCTTGAGTAGTTTAAATTGTCCTACAGGTATGACGATTGACCATGTCATGAACTACAGTGAACTTTCTTCCTGTTGTCTTCGAGTGATGTGTGCTTTTCACACTTATAACGGAATCACCAGCTTCTGCACAAATAAATCAGACACGGCATCAAAGTGACGGCTGTCTGCAGAGCAGGCCAGCTGGATTAGAGCAGTTTCGGCCCCTGTTCACAGGGACAAGTGAAATTTGTGAAGAAGCATTTGAATGAATCTGCATTTCCACTTAGATGTGATGTAATTATTACTGCAATGCAGTGAACTTGGTGCCGTCAGGCCAGATGTGGGTTATGTCTAGTTTGTTTTGTTTTGCATTACAGAAAGCATCTGCTACGATTGCTGAGAATGAGAATTTGAAAAGCAAGCTGCAAGTAGCTGAGGCAGTTCAGCAGCAGACAAACAGTGCAGAGCAAGACTATGAAGAAGTGATCCGACTGCTTGAAGCAGAGATCAGAGACTTGAAAAACGAGCTTGCTGGAAAAAGGCAGAAGAAAGGCTTAGAAGCGACAAAAGTAGGCTATTTTTTCAAACATTTTAGACAATAAAAATATAAAATAAAAATATCACATGTATTTCAAAATGATGAATCCTATGTTGGCTTGTCAGTTTATTAGTGATATTTGAAACATATGCATATACTGTACCTCCATGTAAAAAAAAGGTGTCTGTTGTTGACCGTATTTAGGAATATGTGAATTTATGTGACACTATTTCAGTACATTATATGTATGGATATATCCTTGTTCTATCAGGAAGATGTAATTGAACTGAAGAGACGACTATCAATGATTGATTGTCGGCTGCGAAAATCTGAGCTCACCCGAAAACATCTAGAAATTTCCAATAAAAAGCTTCTGGGATTTGCGCAGGTATGAGCAGATATGATTAACAGGAAACAGGAAATTCATATTTAACCGAAGCTAAGTAAGATGGTGAGAGTTGTGATACATTACAGAAAATGATAAAAACTCAATGATAATGAAAAAGAATTCTGATACAGCTGTCATTTCTATCATAATGTCATCTTTTGGTTTTAAGATGTTTTTAAGTGTTGACAGAACATAATGTGTTTATAGTATAAGATAGTAGTGTTACAGTATACTGTATGTTTTCATGCTTTCTATTTCCTGTAGAACAAAAATAAACGTAAACTCTACAAATACTGTACATACAGCTATCACTGATACAAAGGCATAAAAATACAGTCTTGATGAATTTTAAGGATGTCAAAGTACGATTTCCAGTTTCACAGCATGAATAAAATGGTTTCCTTTCTTGAATTACATTTTTTTCATGCACAGAATGTTCACAAAGTGCTGACGTCCTCCAGCCTTTTTGGGAGTGAAAATGGGTATGTGTTTCCCGTCTCTGTAGCAAGACTTAACCATTTCGACACATCCACTCCCATCCTTCATTCAGAATTCCAGCCATCCCAGCCACAGACTATAGTGCCCCTGTGCTCAGGCAAGTGGTACTGCACTGTTAAAGCACAGACCACTAGACTCAAGAACAGCTTCTATCCCACTCCAGTGCGCATCCTCAACAGCTAACTGAAGGGCCTCAGACTCATTGCACGTCTGCACTACGCACTTTTTGCACAGTCTAGTGTGATTTTTCCCTCACTACTACATATTTACTGTCCACAACATATTTATAAATTGTTCCTGTTGTTATTGTTTATTATGTTTGTGATGTACTGTCTACATTGTGTGGTCTGCTGTGCTGTGTGTGTCCCGAGACATCAGCACGATGAAGAATTCCTATATACATGTACATGTGGCAATACACTACTCTACTCTACTCCTATACTTAGCAGGGATCACAGGCAACATTTACAGTCATCACGGGCCAATGCTCTGCAATATAGAGATTATTTGGTTTGCATTAGTGTAAAATTGTTAAGAAAAATAACTCAGAACCAGCTACTTGCAGCTCCCTGACAGTCCAGCACTTACCAATATACATGTTTACCCTCTGAAAAGTAATTGAATATTCTATGCTGTACTGTGCTCCACTGTGCTGTGCATGAATAACAGACATTTCAAGTTTCATGTGTTTTATGTACTGTATGAATGGCAAACCTTCATGTTTTCTGTACGAAACCATGCAGTGACTGTCTAGAAAAGCCTGTTACTACTGACAGTGAATTCCGTCTTCCTGTTCCATGTGTTTTGATCAGGATCAATACCAAATTACCCGATGCACAAGCCGGAGGTGGCCTTGACTTTCCCGATCCTGCGGGTCTCCTGGCAGCCGAAGCAAAGCTGCTGGTTGACTGTGTGTACTCCTTCAGCACTGACGACAGTAAGAGCTGGTTCTCTCCTCGGGGTGCTCTTCCTCTGGGGGGCTGGTGCATCTGAATTCAAAACATCAGGTCTCACATCTCACGTCTAGAGCCCGGAGCCCATCGATTTCAGTTGAACATTTTACCTTACTGCCAATGAAATACCTAAACATAATTATTGAAAAAAGTTGTAATTTGCAAAATCTGTCATACGAGAGCAGCAATTAGTGGCAATGTTTTTGAAAGAGTGAGGTTTATGCTTCCACCCTCTGGGAGTGACTGAGTGTTGGGATTGTAATTTCTGATCGGGGACAAAGCATTTATTTATTCTGCCGTAATAATTCAGTCATCCTTCATTATCGCAAGCAAAAAGATCAGTTAGAATATCCACTGCTCTGCAGCTCTTACAATTTCTCTTTGAAAAATTCTGACATGGCTGTACAAGTAAATCAAAACAGTTTAACAGATTTTAATATTTATTTTTAATAATAATAATTAATACATTATTATAAATACTGTTTTCATAAAAGTACTGACCAAGGGACATTTGAAAATCTGTGAATGTACTTCCTGTTCTGCTGTCTAACAAATACACGCTTTGTGTTTAAAAGTCTTATATTACCGTAATCATATTCTCACTAAGTGTTACAGATTGGTCGGGAGAAGAGCAGCACAGCAGAAAGCACAAATTATTCAGCTGAGTAAGTGAACTTAAGTCTTGTATTCTCAAATACTTCCATCAGATGGCTGAAAACGTTTTTATGATTTTGCATCTATAAGTTAAATGTCACTTAAAATTTTTGCATGGTTTGGTAAAGAGGTTTGCATGATAATTCAGAGGATTCAGTTATCAGTAGGGATAATATATATACTGTAAATGTTGTTGTGTTAAAGAAAACTGAAACAACACTAAGCTAACTGTAAACTGAAAATAAAGATGTTGATTCACTGTTGATTTTCAGAGATAGTTTACATAAATCCAAGATATAACAGTTTGACAGTATGCTCATTCTTATATTGTTAATTTGTGTCTGATTTATGATTTGCTTTAGAACACGTGAAAGGTGTTCACACTGAAAACAGAAACTGGAGTCTTTCACCCAGCTCAGAACAGGTGAGGCTCACACTCTTAAACAACATATCATCCTTTATCTGTTCCCCTGGCAGGCACTCACTCAGCCTCCTCCAGCTTTAACAAGCACTATGCTTAGCTTGCCAAGGAATATATGAACCTCAAATGCAAGGTTGAAATCTGATTGTTTTGTGTACAGTATGGGATAAGCACTAGTTTGAAGCTGAAGCAATCTTGTGCTGCTGTGCATCCATCCATTTTCCAGCCATTTCCAGAAATATGTGTATGGATGTAAATACTGTACCTCTCGCCAGGCATTTCAGATTTCATAAAATATTATTTTTTTATTAGTAAATCATTTATACCAAACTGATGTGATTTGAAGGTATCATAGCCCAGACTTTTTAGGAACATATTTTAGCTATTTGACCACTGCCAAGAGCTCTAAACAGAAATTAAAACAAGCATTAAAATAAAGAGAGATTTTATATGGACCTTTTCTTGAAATTAAGTTTTGTACTTTTGCCTCAGCATTCCTTTCTTTATTTTATCCATTGCCAGAAAGCACAACGTCTGTGAATTAAGGACTTTAATTCAAATAAGCTTTTTTCATGAATCTGCACAAATACATATACTGCGCAAATGTATTTGGAAAAATATTGTGTGGCTTTAATTTGTGTTTAACTGTTAACATATTCACTGTAGCATCAAAGTGGGAGCAGATGTATGTAGATTGTTAATAGTTCTTAGTGCTGAACTGTTACCTCACATGACTGAGCAGCACAGTGGGCATATAGACAGCTGTGTTTTCCTGGCCATGAAGGTTTTCTTTGTATAGATCTTCTGTATTCTGCTTCTGGTTGTCTCATTTGTATAAAGTGGCATTATATGTAGAACAATTGCAGAATATTAAAAACACGATATGTGAGGTTCCCTACATAGAGTTAAAACTTTAAACTTATTTCAGAAAGAAGGACGAATCTCTTAATTTTATAATCATCCATCTTCAGTCCACTTTCCTTGGTGACATTCATATTAATTATTATATTCCATCCTAAGAAACAAACACCCAAAAGAATGTAAAGCTCTTAAACAATATTGCTATCTTTTCCAAGCAGGAAAGGCATAAAGAGATTTTAGGAACAATGAGGCCTTGTGTGTTTATCCTATGCTGCGGTAATGCCACTCCTTCATGGCTCAGCATCCTCACCTTACTAACCAAGAGCACTTTTCTACCAGAGCAGTATTTTACAGATGATTCCTCTGTTGCTTTCATTTAGAAACAAGGAATTCATCATTAAAATAAATACAGCCATTTCGTGTTTTTCTTGGGTTAACAATGAGTACCCTGTGTGTGTACTATGTGTTACACACATTCGTTATTCTTTCGCCCTGCACATGACCTGCCTGGGTAGCTAACTGGTTTAACAAAACAATTATGAGGTTTAACAACAGTTATACAATATATAACTATAGAATAGTGCTGAAAGTAAGCTGTGAGATTTTTTTGTTCCTGATATGGGGCTTTTTGAGATTTGTGTGGGCATGACAACTACAAATACTTTCTGACCTCTTATTTTCTGGAAGCTGTGAATTGTCTATCCATCAAAATTCTCTGTTGGTGTTTAATACACTTACACAGTTAATATTTATAAAACTGTCACAATGACTGATTTTGACAAGCAAGTCATACTTGTTTTCAGTTATTCTGGCAGCCAATGCACAATTCATTTTCTACCTTGGAGAGAACTCCAGTTGTCGTATAACCTCTTCTAGTCTTAAACTCTTCTAGTTTTAAATCAAATAACTCTTAGCAGAGGGTAAACTTCTTGGCTTGTAGATATCCACACAAGGCCTCATTGTTTCCAAAGTCTGAAAGAAATAAAGGATTATCTTTATGTTTTACATGATGTGATCATGATTAAAGAAGTAAGAATGAAATTTAAAGAGTGTTACAGTAGGTGCTTTTATGTTCCTTTTTTCACATTTTCTGTTTTAAATAAAACTGTACATATATCAATCAGCTGTAAGAATGACCATGTTTTTGAACTATAATCATGTGCCATAGCAGAGTGTAAATATGTTTAATAAATTTTTGGCCACTTGGAATATGAGCTGAAAAAGTGAATTTATTTCCTTGCAGCTGTTTATGTGTACTTGATGTCTTCGTCATTGACTTCTCTAAGCTGTAGACTGTGGCAGGGAGTTGTCAGAACACATTCCTGTATGATATGTCCTTTAGAATGACAGGCCACATAGCACTACCTCACTGACTCGAGGAATGGAGGGAGGAATCTCTGTGGAAAAGGATAAGAAGGACTTGTAGATACTGATTATTGTGCAAGAGCAAATGACATTGAAGTTGACATGTCGGTAGGCCTCATGGGTGCCTCGCTGGGCTGGCCTGGGAAGCACTAGGATGCTCTGAAAGTCGCAGTTGATATGAGGACATGACAGCCGCACGAGTCCAGACTCTGCTGTGCGGAAATATGGGCAGGTCTTGCTGAAGGTTGAAAATCAGTCCCTATCAAAACTGGCCTGGTAGACCTTTCACTCAGACAGCATTGAATATGATTAAAAATATCTCTTAAACGACTGAATAGGCATTCACACTCAAGTGATATTCACACTTTTATGTCTGCAAGGCAGAACAGCACAGAGGACATCTTTATTCAGGGTCAACTTCATTGGACATACCTGATAAAGGGCCACGTGTTTTGGATATGAAAATAATAATGCAAGCAACTGTTTTCTGATTCTATGATTTGTGTACACTAAAAGCATTTAAAGTGGAAGTCCATGACTGTATAACTAAAAAAATCATAAAGCAACTACAAGGAACTTAAAAAATATGGTGCCGCTGTGTAATGAGTTTTATTTAGTTTTTATATTTATGCATTCTTTATTGAAATGTATTTATCAGAGACTAAGCTTTTGAAAGGAAAAAAAGGAATATTTTTATCAATTGTTTCTTTTTGTCTTGAAGTTGCAGCACACAGCAGCTGTGATCATCATGACTTGGAACTCCTGGAAAAGACAAAAGTGAAAGATGTGAGGAACAACTCAAAATGCAACGAAAAGATTCTGAAGAAATCCTCTGAAAAAGTTTATTCAAGGACCTTTAATATTTTAGAAGATGAGAGTGTACAACTGTTGCTTGGCAGCTTTATGAACTGTTACATTAGTGGAGGCTCCAGTTGATCACTGCTTTATCGATATGTCACTAACAGCAACAAAACAAATTGATTTCATGTTTACATTTAACAGTAACTAGCCGTTTAAATGGAATGATCTGCATTAGTAAGATGGAATTGAAGTGTAGGCATGTGCAGTAACAGTCTCCATCAGAATGTCCTAGCAAGACAGGACAAAGAAAGGAAGAGTAAATCATCTGAAACCAGTGAAAACACCTGAAGGACCTCTATTGCCTGAAAAGATATATTGCAAAAGAACATACTGTGTTTATGCGTTATTTGACAAGAATCATTCTGTATATACCATACAACGTTTTAGTATTTTTTATTTTGCCAATATGTCAGTACATTAGTGCATTCTGGTATTTATTTCAGAATCAGTGCATTGCTGGTGATTCTAGAAGGAGGTCATTAAATGACCTGGATAAATAAAAAATGCTTCAATGTTTGAATAATTGCACATCTGTATTTATTTAATCTATTAAATGCTCTGAGATATCAGAGATTTTATATAACTAGCATCCAGTCTTTTATTAAAAATGACCTGTTGACAAGTTCAGTCATCAAGAGATAAACAGTTACTATTGTAAACCTTATAATCCTCACAACCTGAATTTATTATCACATTTTTGCTTTTAGGGTTACACAAAACACAGGATTAGTACAGTATTTTCCAATGTCATGGTAAAACAGAAAAGCAACTGTGTCCTGTTGTACAGTATATAGGATGTCCTTTAAACAGGGCTTCCTGTATGGTGTGATACAACTTGTACATTGTATTTTAGAATGTGTGCAATAACCCAGTTTATCACCCTGGCATAGCCTGTTCAAGACATCATGCGAAAGGCTGAAGCACCTGTGTTTTACTAGAACCACAACACTGTGACTCATACTGTAATTGCACTTTCTGTAATTTCCAACTTTCTAACAAGACAGTGCAGGCGAAGAACTTGTTCTCTTTTTCTTGAATTACCAAACATACCAAAGTACTAAATAATTCTGATTTCTAAATTAGTAATCACTAAGTAATATACAGTGTATGGGTTTGAGTTTCTGTCATCAACAAAATAAAAGTTTTTATAAGCTTTGTGATGGAATGTACTGGAAATTAAACTTGAACATCTTTCAGTTATGAATGTTGTGTAGATCTAGTCAAAATGTGGGAGAGGAGTAAAATGTGTGGTAATGGTTTATAAGGAAAGGTTCGTTTTCGTCATAGTACATGCTACAATAGTGTTAAACATTATATTTACACTTGTATTTCAATTAGAGTGCAATATATGCATATGTGCCCTCAGTTTTTCTTTTCTTTTTTATTAAAGGAAATAATTCTTCATAACTTTCATCTGACTGTACTATTCATTCCTTGCTATTTCTGTTTATTACATTAAAGTAAAAAGAGGCACTGTCTCTGAACGACTATGATCTCCGTCCATCTATAGATTTCAGAGAAGGTATATAAAAGAAGACCACACAATATAAAGCAGAGTTAAACAGATCTCATTAATGCTGTCAGTGTGTTTCAAGGACTGTGCCAGCAGTGCAGTACATAATGTCTGCTATAATTACTATTTTTTCAGATGTCTTAAGAATTCAGATTTGTAGCTAATTAATCAAAGGCATGCTGTCCTGTGCCAGTACTATAATGTGGTGCATTGTTTAGACTGTGCTAAAATCATACACTTCCATCCAGTGTTTATTCCCATTAAAACTGCACACACTCTTTAGGAAAAAATGGTACTGTACGTATCACGCATCATTAAGATTGGGTACTATTATTTTACACAGTAAAGACAAGCAGTAAGGAGACTTCACCCTAAGACATTAGATTTTTTGCAAGAAAGCTCCTCGTCTGAGCTAAATGTCTCTTTATAAAGTGTGTAGGGTTAGCAAAGCAGCCTCCAGTGCAATTTCATGAATGCCATGTACACAGAAAGGGTCTCTAATAACAAAGGGGCTTTGATACCATGGAGAATCACAATATCCGTTGGTAGAACAACTTCGAAAAGCATTCTTTTGTATTTACAATCAGTGCAGTGGTGGTTTTAGTAGTTTGTATAGTTTAACATTTAAATAATTATCCCTTCAAAGATATGACTTACTGTACAATACCATTTCAGTTCACATCTTGAGCATACTGGACTATACGGCACCAAAAAGGTGGGAGAGATTAACATGATTTAGTTCCCTGATATATTCATACAATTGTAATAAAACCTCTTGTTATTTTCTTCCAAGGAGACCTCATTTGTGACTGGATTTTAATATATACAGTATATACATCTGAATGCAAGTATTAAAATAAATATAAAATTAAAAGAAAACACTGTAAAATCAAATGTTAATTAACCCTCTTCAGCCAGGAGTCTCGGGTCTCATTTCCTGGAAGGACTTTTTTGGTTTTGTTTCACCAAACAGTAGCTCACAGTTACATTGTTGAATTAACTGTTTAACAACTGCATAACAGGAATACAGTATTTCTGCTCATGCTCAGATGTGTTTATAAGTAACTTCCTTTACTGAAGTGAAGGTCAATCAAAAGGAATCAAGTGGTAAATAAATCATGTATACTGTAAGTCTAACTAAGAAAATAATTAGGTCAGTTATTTCATTGAATATTCATGTACAGTATGAACAAAAGTTGGAAGACAATAGGAATTGAGCCTGAGACTCCCTGCCCACTAAGCTAGAGGCTTTTGTTTCTCATTTTAGCTAGAAAAATCTGTGGAAGACCTGAGGTCCTGACAGTCTGGGGACATACTGTACAGTAGCACGCTTTGTCTTTATTCCTGCACAATTAAAACCTCTGCCAAAAACCAAAGGTTGTAGACCGAACTAGAGTTTAGAAACGGGAAGTAGATGTTCAGGAAGATGAAAAACAATGTTTTATGTTGAATGTTTGTCAAAGCGTAATACTACCGAGCACACGAACAGTGAGGGATTCACCCCCCTGTCTACTGGCAGAACACTGCACATCTGGAACCACTGTCCTGCACGAACAATCCCTCAGTGTTGAGTCTGACCCTGCGCTGAGCTCTCTCCCAAAGTGTGAAGGCGTATTCATTGCTATTTGAGGATTCTGCATGCATGGTAAGAAAAAAATAATCGCTTAAGTATTCCAGAGTTCTAAATTAAAGCTTCCCTTCTCGATTTCTAAACTTGATGTAAAAAAATTTACATGAAAAACAAAAGTCAGCAGAGACAAACCTTCAGCACATGTATTTCAGAATGGCTGCATTCAGGTCATTTAGTTAGTATTAAATGTAGCGTTTGCAATGCACATATTATAATTCAAATCACTACTTAAACTTAAAGTGCACAAATACTTTGCAATTGAAAATAAGACTAAAAGCTTTAGAGTAATATTTTCTCATCAGCAAGCTTGCCTATTCAATTTTACATTTTTAAGATACGATTACAATAAACATTATGAATAATACCGTGTTTATTATTAGATACTGTTGGATTCCTACTCACTAGAAAACATTTTTCTTCAAAGAGTGAATGATTAGATTTTGATAGTGCCGCTGCTCTTTAGAGAAGCTGCATGCCGTCGGTGCTGCCGGCTGGGGGCACCTACACATGTGGATAGCGGTAACTAATTTTGGCAATGACATCACAGCAAGTCACACAGTGACAAGCGCAGAGAAAGAATTAGCCGGGAAAGGAGCTCATATATTGGCTGTCCGAAATAATAAGCATGCTCGAGTAAAAATAAAAATAAAAACGCGTTTCGCAACCAACTGAATCTACAAAACACGAAATTCCATCAACCCGTTCGACCGCGTACTGACTGATCATTTACTCGCTGATAATGTCGATAGAGTAGTGCATTGTGCCTTCAGCAACACCAGGCACCGGCTCCGTGCAAGCATGCGGCGGAGGTCGCATCTGTTCAGGTGAAAGCAGGATGGAATTCGTCCGGAACCAACGGAATGAGAGAGCTAGGAAACGCTGTTTTATTCCGGGTCTTTTTCGATGAATACCTCGTAGTGTTGGAATTGCGGAATCTATGCAATATTGCAAATAAAAGCAATATTCAGGTTTAAAAAATACATATAGATGAAATAACAGGATTAATTGAAGAAGTAACTGCAGCTGGACCCTGTAATGCAAGGTAAGAGGCATTTAATCATGCACGCTTGTAAAAAATACTCATTTTCAGGTACATTGTTAGACTGATGAGGTTAGTTTCAGACAACGAAAGAGCTACAACTGGATTTTGAGAGACGTTATTTACTGTTTATTAATTTTGTGTGAGTGTTTACAGCTAAAGAGGAAATAACACGTTGATGTTTGGAGTATGCAAAAATCTGTTTAGGTGCATATCATGTAAATATTTTTAAAACGTTCAGTGTCCTCAATATTTGTGCGCGTGTGAAGAAGCATGTCCTTCAGTACTGCGTGAGACCGGTGTGGTTTGCAACAGTGGTAGTCAAGCTGTCAAGTGCTGGCGTCCTGCAGTATCTTAGAGATTTTCATGTCTGAAATTCCCTCGAATTTGGCCATCTGGTTTCGAGCTTTATTAAAAACTGCACTTGCGCATGATCTAAAAATAGAAGGCCCACACATGCAGCTCTTCCCTGGATAGCGGAATGCAGAAGGACCCGAGGGGGTGAGAGCCCCACAAACTCAAGACCCCGCAGGTGTCAACTTCGACCCCAGGAATGACGAGCTCTTGCAGGTTTATAGAGGTCGCATCAACGCCAAAGCCGCCGTATCAATATCATCAATATCATCAAGTGAAGAGTACATAATGAAGAGGAGCAAGGGATGACAGGCAATTCATTCGATCAATTATACACTCGGTGGACTGCAACGATCATGTTGTTGGGTACTAAAACGTTTTCCATCTCCATTTTGTACACTTATGTTAATATCACTTTGCTGCAGGGATGTAAAACTTCATAACTGTAATATTTCTAACCTGGCTTCAAAGTGATTTATAAATACGTGTACATTTAAAGAGGAACTGCAGTCCCAATTTCTCAAACCGCTTATTAAATCTCAGAAACAAAATAAATTCATTGACGGCATAGAAAAAACATGACTAATTCTGAATTAAGCACATATCGGAAACTCTGTGAGAGTACAGTAAGTCGCAGTGTTGTGACAAACCCCTGGTCTCGAGTTCGTGAGAATAGTGACGTGGTGTAGCCCTTCCTGCTCCCTAGTCACTGTGCTGACTGATGTCATGTGAGGTGCGAGCCAATAAGTACAGGTTGTGCAACAGACATTTCACCGCAGGAATGTTCCAGTGATATCTGCATGAGTTACCAAGTAAGTTGTATAAGTTGGAAAAACCATAATATAAAATAGACTACTTAAGATTTATACCGTATGTATTCTAGGTACGGAGTTCTGACATGAAGCTTTTACTTCAACACCCCATTTCGACTGATAAACATCCGTTTAACTGCGATGTAGTGTATTTTGTACACAGACATTTCAATAGTACAGGTATTTAATAGTACAAAGCTTTGAGGTATTGCCAAGTTTATCTTATCTAGTTTACTTTGAATGAACATGAATGAGCCGTTATGTTCCTCGTACTGTTATTTTTATACTAGGACAGACAATATTTACTGAGCAGTACAGAGCATTAAATAAACAGTGATATTGCCAAGTTTTCCTTAGTTTACTTTGCCTGTTTTGTGTCGAGCCGGCTCAGCATGAATGAAGAGGGTGTGTCACTACTTTTGTGCAGGGACAGATGAGAGGAAATTCAGTTTCATCAAACTGCAAACGGAAAATGAAAAAGTATTTTTTTTAAGTGATCAGCTGACGTGTTTTGCCACTGGAAAAAAAGCATCAACAGCAGAGAGCAGTTTGACCCTGGGCAATGTGACAAACGAGTGACATCACGTGAGGGGTCCCATGACCTTTTTGATAACGATGCCCCTCGAATTCCTCAAGCACTTGAGGCCACACTGGCGCGGCGTCACAGAAGTGTGGATCTGGAGGAAGGACTCAGGGCTCAGCACGAGAACTGGGACACAGTGAAAGCAATATGGCGCTGCTCACACTGTCCCTGCGTTGCTGTTGTGGCTAAGTGTTCATTTGCAATCTTTCCCATAATGCAGGGCAGACTGCCTTCTCTGGACATCTCAGCCACCCCCTTTCAGAACTGACTGATGCTGCAGTGTAGGTGTGGGTCTGAATTCAGGGGTAAGTCTGGTGAATTCAGTTCCATTTGTGTTTGTAAGCTTCCCCACTATGGTTGTCTGCATGTTTCCGACTTATCTGTAAACCATCTCAGTTCTTGTGAACTGTGTGAGTCATGGCTTCTAGCTGCATATTGGTGATGAAAGCGTTGTAGTGCAAATACAGAAACGCAACACCAGTGGAAAATACAGTCCTGTATTACAGATCATGTATAACAGATTATGATTTGTGCGTATACATACAGTATATATCCATCCATTTTCCAGCATTATCCGTTTTCTAATTGTTTTATTCAGAAAAGGACTGTGGGGGAGCTGGAGTCTATCCCAGCATGTAGTGGGCACAAGGCAGGGTACACGGTGGACAGGATGCCAGTCCATCATAGGGCACCCGCAGACACGCACACAGCCAAGTAACTCACCACCAGCTCATTGGACCGTGGGAGGAAACTCACTTTGAATGCAAGAGGAGCACAAGCTCCATGCAGATGCACCTCAGGAATAGAACCTCACACACACATAGATATACAAACTATGTATATGTCCATCACTGATCCATCAAATTGATCAGTTTTGTTAGTTATTTTAATCATATTTTGATTATTTACATTTCATTAGCAAACTCTGATGGGAAGTTTGCCATAATTTTGTATCCAATCCTAACGGCAACCCTACAGTGGTCCGACAGGTTTGGTCATGTTCGACTCCAGCCCAGGCAGTCCCAGCTCTGTCCAATACGGGGCCACAGGAGAGCCGGAGCCTGTCCCGGCAAGCAAGGAGTGCAAGGCAGGATACACCCTGGGTGGGACACCAGTATACCGCAGGCTATATACAGGCACAGACACAAACACCCGCACACTCGCGCCAGGGTATATAAACCAATCATTACTTCACGCTCTAAAGACTTCTGGGTACCTTTTATTTCTGTATTGCAGATGAACTAGTCTTGTGAAAACTTTGCCTTTATTAATTATTCATCCTGACAGGAGATAATGACTTTAATGATGTTGATAATTGGTATTTTATTATTATTATTATTATTATTGTTGTTGTTGTTGTTATTGTTATTGTTATTGTTGTTATAAATGTTATAAATGAAAATGTATTACTTTCTAAACTAGCAACTTGTTAATGTTACATTGCAGGGTGAAAATGGTGCAGAAATATCAGTCTCCGGTGCGAGTGTACAAGTACTCCTTTGAAATGGTGATGGCGGTGAGTACACCACAATTAACAGTGAAAGCTGCTGGGTGAAGAGGGTGACATGTCTGTCAGTGGAGGGGACAGCGGTCACATTGTCCACGGTTTTCTCACCTTACTCTGCTCAGCACATTACATGACATTAAATACTAAACTGTGTGAGCCTTTGGGGTTACATTTGTCATTTAATTATCTTTGCTAAAGAAAGAAAGACTCTAATTGAGATAAGAAGTTCCCCTCCCCCCGGGTGCAGTGCAGAGCTTTGCTGCAGTCGCAGGTAGAGAAAGCTCAGTGTGCTGTGCATTTCTGCGTACAGTTACAATTAATTCAACTGCAAGCAGACATTTTTAATTCTAGCACTGCCTGTTATTTCCGTTCATAACAAATGCAAGGAGTCTGTACACTTTTCAAGTGAGGCCCAGTGAGTCATTGATATTTTAATGATAAATCATTATAACAGAGTCTATCATGTTGAGTTCTTCCTAATTATTAATGTTCAAAATACACCTCATCTTACACCAGAGTCCAGATAAAGATTAAGAAAAGCTCCTTTCATATCACAAAATGTGGCTTCTCCTGAGGAGAAAAAGACAGGATCTCACAGCTCCTGAATAACAGCCAAATTATTTTAATTTAAAGCAATTGTTTTATATCTGGAGTACTTTTCCTCATCCTTGAATCCAAAAGGCCTTATCAAAATAACTTTCAGAGATGGTGATCGCAATGAGATTGTGTTGGACTGTAGCTCCTGAAGACTTGCTGTTTCTGCAGTTTGTCCTGAGTTAAGATTGTTGCACCAATGAGGTATTTAAATGCTAATTAGAGTCTCTGTATATGAAGTCAAAGATCAAGATGAAACATTGGCTAATTGAGTTGTGTCAACACATTAAGTGTTTCTCAGCATTTGTCAAGTAGTTCAGAATGATCAGTCCTATCTGGTAGCTATTATAGTACCTAAATGAATTTAGGCCTGAACTGATATTCTGCAGTAGCTGTTGATAAAAAGAAGTGCAGGCAGGTAGATGGCAGTTTCTTTTGGGCTCAGTTTCAAGTTTACTTGATAGATTACATGAGAGGTCATTAAAATTACATTTGCTGAATAAACAATGGAGTCATAGCGCTCAGAGCTGATAGGGTATCACTGATGCTTGGCCTTCTCTTGCAGGAAAGAGGTTATTAGCTTAGATTGCATTGAGACTATGATTACTATGATACTATCTGTATCTGATTTAGAGTCTTTGTTAGGATGGTTACGGTGTAGTAATCCTGATCTGATATTTGTCAAAGTTAAACCTGACATTGGATTTGTTTAATGTTCCATAGCAACCTGGCCCTCCTATCCATTCCTTTTCCAGTTTAAGGTGTAGGCAAAATTGTTCAAAAGAAAATCCTCCAATTCCCAAACCTCAAGAATTTGGGGTGAATCTCATTCAGGTTACTGAATTTGTTTTCTCGTATTTTTCTATCCTGTAAAAATAAAATACCAAACATTCATTGTTTTGAACGCTCCAAAAATCACTTTTTTGTCTTATAGACCTTGATAGAACAATACATGTCTTGGATTTACTAGATAAATTCAATGAGACTTACACGCAAGTCTGATAATGTCTGTGTCATATTTTAGTGTTCAGTGTCACTGCATCTAAATAGTGAATATTCCTTCAAGTGAACTAATTTTCTTGAACGTACCTGTCCAGGCTAATGACGGTGAAGTGTAGGCAGCACCCCTCGTGTGAACATATCAAACACTGCCTTGCATTGTTGTGGCTGCCTGCTCAGATGGCCGGTGTCTATTTTTGGTAGACAGAATGTTCATGGGAGTCTTGTGATTTAGAAACAAAATATTGAATTTACAGTACAGTTCCTTTACACTCACCAAATGAAAAATCATTTATAGGAATAAACTAACACAAGAAAGATAGTAGTTCGATGCAAAGTGTTATGCAAACAACAAAATGCAATAGTATTAGTAAAAGTAGTAGCATAGACAGATAGATGCAAAGAAGTAATGTAATAAATGAACAGTTTATAGGAACTATGAGAAACCAGTCCATCATCCATGTTCTAACCTCTTCATCCAAATCAGGGTCGCGGGGGAGCTGGAGCCTATCCCAGCAAGCAACAGGCACAAGGCGGGTTACACCCTGGATGGGACACCAGGCCATCACAGGGCAGACACACACACACTCACACCAGGGCCAGTTTTCCCAGAAGCCAGTTAACCCACCACAATGTTTTTGGACTGTGCGAGGAAACTGGAGCACCCAGAGGAAACACATGTGAACACGGAGAGAACGTACAAACTCCACACAGACAGCACCCCTGGTCCGGAAGTGATCCGAGAGACCCAGTGCTGTGAGGCTTAGGACTTCAAAATACCATTTCCATAAGACTGGACAGGGATCTGAGGATACAGGTACTACAGCTTGTTCGGAACAAGAAATGAAGCAAACCGTTTGCAGTAGGTGGTGTTAAAGGAAACCGGAAAGAAAGCTGGACGGATGTTATTTTAGAAGCTCAAATAACCGTCTAGAGTCACACAGATATGGCCGCGAGCTGAATATCCTGTTTCACGGGCCGGTAGGAGCTCCTCGTGTATCCAGAGCCTGCCAGCGAGCTGGACGCCAGCCTGACAGAAGCAGGGTGCCTGGCAGGACCACACCCTGGACGGGATGCCAGTTTGTTTCGGGTCACGCACACGCACACACACACACGAGCAGCAGGTCAGCCATGCCAGCTAACAAGAAAGACCACCATGCCACCATCCACAGGTTTAAATTGGATACGTTTTTAGAGTTTCTAGTTTCTTGTTTTCTCTTTGTATCGTATAAACCAGGAAGGGACCTTATAATCAAACCTGGATCAACCTTTTCAGTTCACATTGTTTTTGTCTTAAATGACAAAGAATTCCATTCACTGCGGTTAATATTTTTTTACCCAAGCATGTACAATAAAAGCTGAAAGATGAAGACTTTTTTGCAAAATTAACATTGTTAGAATGTTAATGTTAATCAATGCAAAATGTGAAAGTGATAATCAAGCCAAAGGATTGGGGATTTAGTCGTATTTATTAGGCCAATAAGTACAGTATCACACTTCCAATTTTGACTCTTTGACTATATTTTTATTCTAGATGATAGCAAATATATAGCAATACATGACATGAAACCAGCTCCAACTATACACCACAGTCAGCTATAGCACTGCTGACCTAATTTTGCTTTTACTGCATTGTGCTCCCATGCTGAGGGTCTCATTATAACTCTGGGAGGGTTACTATTAATACTTTCAAGATGCTTTGAGGTCTCACTTTGTAACAACATTCTGGTATGTCATGTAGCCACAGTGTTCTGACTTTGCCAAGCTGCAGCAGGGAAGAGCACTGTAATGCTGATCGACTAATACTGAGATGATAATAATAATATCAGTATTCATTCTGCTGTTCTGCACTGACAGAGGGAAAGCTAGATTGTCCAAACCCCCATCTTTATTCTGTGGTGTTCTCTGTCACCACACTGGTGCATTATTTTGGAAAAACTAGATTAAAGGAAAGAGTGTCACTGTATTTCTGCACCAACACCACTGTGTACTGAAGCCTGACTTCCCTTACAACGTCTTTCCTGAATGGACCAGGCCCAGCTAAGATCTGACAAGGTGGTAATGCTACTATCAACCGCATTTTATTATTGTACTCTACTGCTACAGATATCTGCAGTGAACATTAACGGTGCATAGGATTAGAAATGTAACTGCAGCTGATGATGTTTTCCAACCCTTTCATTTCTGTATTTTTTAAACATTATTCAGTCATGTATAATTAGTTACCTGCCCAGTAAAAAATAGAGAAGTCATGAGTTTAAATTCCCTGTGGTACTCATGTGCCTTACCTAGGGGTAACTCTAGGTCAGGAACAGATTTTGTTGCCATTGATGCTAACACTAAGAGCTTGGAAATACAGTTGTGTTATGTATCTGTAACATTTGCCATTTGTCCAGCTTTTAAGAGAATGGATGTCACACAGCTTATTGGGCATTTCAGGCTGAAGGTTGTTGTAATTGCCACATGATCACAATCATCTGAAGAAGTTCGATTAGGTAGCTGCGTCAGCGTGCACAGGCTGCAAAGAAACGGGTGAAGGTTTATTCCTTCCTGTGGAAGACGAAGGCTCCACAGCCTAAATCTTGCGTCTCTTTTTTTTTCCTTTCAGCTTGGAACGAACCTTTAAAAGTATAAAAATGACTTTGCCGTCTCATAGCATCTGAAAGACAATGTATATTGATGCAGATTGTTTTCATTAATATTATCAATCATTAGAATTATTCTTCTACCTGCAACGTGGTAGGTCGTGTTTTACTTATAATGCAATACTTTAGCATTTTCCCATTTTCTTTTACATTCATTTCTGTGCTTTTGATTTAAGCTTAGTTTTGTTTCACTTCAGGTTAGTAAGCAAAATGTTACAGTGATTAGCACCACTGTCTACTGCTGAACAGGCTGGGAAGAAGTCACATCTTTAGCTTCGTCCAATCCCCTTATATAATATACAGACCTTAATTTAGCTCCAACTCTGATTCCATCTGTCAGCTATGAAGGATGATATTTCATTTTTGCCCTACAGTTCGGACTAACTGTCTGTTTGCTATTAGTTGTGTTTATGGCAGCCAACTTTAAGAGTGTATAGGCGGCAATCCAGTAGAGAATGTTGTGTTACAGTCAAAACAAAGCAAAATTCAATCAATTATTCACTTATCCTTTAGGCTAATTGAGAATGGTATGCTAGAAAAGAAAATGTTTCATTTTGTCAGATTTTTTTGCAGTTTGATTTAGTTTTATTCACTTATTTGTTCAACCTTTGAAAACCTTGCTTTATGTCACCAATTACCTAAAACGTCAGAGGCGAGAGGCTTGAAAATCAAAATGTCATTTATACCCCAGTAATCTCAATGGTTTTCGATGGGTTTGTCTCTAATTGATTTAATCCTTGTTTATGTCACAAGATTAGAAGTCGTTATTTACAGTGTGTGTTTTTATATTTTTCATTTCATTCTTGAGAATTATCTTTTTTAAATCTGTCTTTTCCAAACCTTTTCTTATACCTGAAGTAAGACTTATCGGTAGTTTCCTGTTTCAGTCCTCTCCCCCTTGTGGAGTTTTAAACTAAAGATTGAGAGAAGATCAAAGCCTGATCTTGGCCACTTCTATCTACCTCTATATACCATAGAAGACAGACCCTGGTGTGCTGCTCTCCATTGCTCCTCTGTGTTTTCACCATGCTCAAAGACAACCAAAAAACTCAGCATTTCCACTGACTCAGTAAGTCACAAATTTGAAAAAAGTACTGTGCAGCAGGGCAGCATACTGTAAACCAGGGAGTGCCTGTACTTACTGTATCTTATTACTGCCTATGACAAACACAAAAAGGCCACTCAAAACATAGTATAATTCATACTAGATCCATAAGATTTATCAACAAAATATAAAACTAATGGTGAAGTTATGGAGAATGTGAATATGGAATTGTTTTGTTATTATTACAGATATAAACCAAACGAGTTCATAATCGGATAAGGAAGATCTTATCCCCAGATATGAGAGGAAGTCATGTGGTCCGCGTAGCTCATCTGGTTGTTAGGAGTTACAGTACTGCAGGTGCTCCAGCGATCTCCAGCCATTATTCACTGTCTGCTCTGACAAAATATCCCCGTAGGTAGCTTGATCTAGTCCATCACGTTCCTCTGTGTAAGCATGTGACACCGGTGCTCAGGTTTAAAGGCACATAGCTTTCCATTACACCAGTGTCCTCTGGCTCCTGTTTCACCGATGATTCTGAAAACCGGTCTTGCAACCAGGCTGTCGATCCAGCAGGATCAGCATAACCAGTTACATGTCATATGTGCTAATTATAGTCTCTGTACACTGGTACAAAGTGTACTGCAGCTTTACGTTATCTCTCTTATGCAATATATATCTGAACTAATACCGTTAGTCCAAACCTGATACTCATTTTCACACTTAGCATCTCACCGTGAGGTCCCAGTGCTCATCCACCTACCGCTGTATCTGCCACCGTTGAAAGCTTATTTCAGTAGCACTGAGTGTGCCTGCCTTTGAGAGATAAAGACTGAATGTGTTAAGATTTTAACTTAGAGAGGTGCCACTGCACAAAGGCCATGTGGCTCATGTATGTTGTGACATAGTTATTTTTATTTTTGTATTATTTGTTTTGGGAAAATAAAAATGTTTACAAAAGACAGAACATTAGGATTTGCGTTCTACCCTTAGCTTAAACATTTCCAAATATAAAGGGCATCTTTAATGAGGATATTTAAAATAAAAAACCTTACAAGGTCATAATCTATCAAATGTACCTTCTTGTATTTAATACTGGTTCTCTGCAGAAGATAGACTTTATACTGTTTCAAGCACATGAAACATTTGTCTCTCTTTCCAGCCATGTTATGCCAGTTAAATTATTCTATATAGATTTTTAATGCTAAGGTTCTATTTTCATTGTGTTGTGTGTTTGTGTGTGTGTGTGGGGGGGGTTATATCAAACTGTAAATTAGCTTAGAGCATTGCCAAATGTATTGTTTCTCCTTGTAAACTCTGTGTACTTCAAGCACGCTGCTCCCAAAAGCCTTCTGTAGGCAACAACTGGGGACTGTATTAATTCCACAGTTACCATAGAGACCTCACTGTGACCGTTGAGACTGGTGTCCTACTACAGCTGATGAGAACTGCTCTACATTACAGACTTTAATGGCCTACTTGGCTCTCAATCTCCACTGCAATTCTTCATTATAAATGAGCTGTTTCTGTTACTGGGAAATTATGTCAACCTATTTGATGGCATATTACAGCGAAAAAGTCAAAAGGACACACAGAAATGTTTGATGTGGTAGATTATGGTGAAACCATTTCAAAGTGTGCTGAAGTACAGTGAAATCACAGTAAAGGAACTGGGAAGACTACAGAAGTACAGTAAATCAAGGTGGAATGTGAGATACAGTACCACAACAAAGCAAAGTAAAACTGGGGAAAAACTGTGGCAGTGTGCTCTGCATATTGTGATGCCAGTGGGGGGCATGGACATCAGAATGCACCGATATAGATGGGGTGTAGTTGGACAGTTTAACAGTGTTTATTATAAAAATATCTAAAAAACAATATGGATATTGATGTTCTTTAAGCTATGTCCTGTTGCAGCAATTGACTGTTGACACCATCTCAGTGCGGGCAAATGAATCCACACACGGAATGATGCCGGACTACAACTGCCTTCCTTTTTCAGGCCTACGAGAAGCGCTTTCCTACCTGCCCTCTCATCCCAGTCTTCCTGGGCAGTGAGGTTCTCAGCGAGTTCAAGAGCGATGATGGCTCCATTCACATCCTAGAGAGGAGCTGTAAGCTAAATGTTGATGCGCCACGACTTCTTAAAAAGGTGAGTGCCTGCCTCTCTATAAGCAAATACAACACAATGATCTTGTGCAACTCTGATACGATACCATTGGATTTGGTAGATTTATGGCTGTGCTGTTGTCTGTGAATAAAAATTGAATTATGCCTGCAGATTAATGTGTCAGAGATATTAAGTGATAATCTCATGTCTAACTCTTTCAGTGGATTACCTTTCATCAGTATGAAAATAAAATTAAACTTTCTTGAAGCCGAATATGCTCATTATGAGGTCAATGATAAACAAAACACACTCAGTACGTATTGTGAAAATTGCAGTTTTCTAGCTTTGTCAAAATGTATCTCAATACCATTCTGAATTCACACCAGTTAAAATCTAATGTTCCTGAGATGTGTCACCTCATTCAGAGCTAAAGAAATCAGCTCTTATGCAAGACTGTCACATCTTGTACAACATTACTGGCTGCTGCTCTAGTAATACATTTCCAGATCTGATGGATGAAAGTCATAATCAGGACAGTTTGTTGCAGAGAAATCAGAAAACTAAAAACTCTTTTATGTTTTGAAAAACATTAAAAACACAACATGAATATGGGAACCAGTTATAATTATATTAATATTATAATTTATAAAACAAAGTTGAAGTCTGAAGCTAACACAGATCGAGTCTAGACCTCCGCTGGGAGATGTATTGGTCCACCGAACTCAAACTAGAGTTTTGCAAAGTGAAGTGTATACCCAATTGCACAAGACCAGTGTCACAACACGTATTCACAAAAAAAGATTCCCAAATGTCAGTATTTTGTAAGTAAGGGCCACTTTAAATTGTTTTAACATCTCATAATGATATTGTCAAAATTAATATGTCTCTCTAAAATACAAAAATAGTAGTATTAGTAAACCAATACATGATGTACAGTATAATTGCAGAAATTAAATCCACAGATAACGGGAAATCAGAATTTCCTTAACTAACAGGACAGCAAGCTATCTTAATCAAGGTTCAGTTTACTTAGCCAGAATCTGGTCTCCAAGACTGATCTGAACAGTTTCCTCTCACCTTCACACCTCTTCTGTCTTCCACCACTCCCTTCGTCCTTGTCTGAATGTTGAACATTGTCGCTGTTGTTATGATTAACCAGACTAATTCCCCTTGGAGCACCGTCTCTCAGACCACCTTCAGCTCAGTATGACACTTTGGATCCTGCTCTTTTTTTTAGGCTCTGCAAATCCCTGTAACCATAAATCATGCCCATTAGGACTGAAAACATCACATTTTAAAGCATAATAAGCAAAATTTTCTGGGCCCAGACACAATTGCTATGTGACAATCCTGCATTAAATGTACAAGAACATTTGCCTCAGGGAGAGTACTGGATCTGTAATTTCTTCTAGCAGTGCACCCTGTATTGATTGTGCCCTTTTTATTTTAGCTGTGCTGATTCTTGCATTCCAAGACAAATTCTGCATCATTAAGCAAGCCGAAGAGTCACTGTGGAATTTACTTTGGCCCATTTTTCCTCAAATCTCATCCTTTAGCTCCAGCTGAGTCAGGGCTCGGCTGTGACACGTAGTGTGTTACTCAGTGATTGATTTTTCAGCTTCTTAGAGAACTGAGGACTATACAGAGTGATGTAGCTTTTGTATTCCTCACCATCAATTTCTTAGTCTGTTAAATTATGGCACATTCAATAACGTTAAAGTAATAAATAACAGATCTGAAGTGAACAGGGGACAGGACACATTTTATATTATATATTTTTCATAAAATTTTTTAAGAACATACTGTAGGAGAAATCCCTATACTGTCGGTTTTGAAAAATATCATACACTGCTTGATAATGACTGATCACTCAAATGGCTATATACAGTATATTTATTTCAGGTAAATTAACAGAGTTCACAAAACATAGGCAATAAGATATTATAAAATAAAACAATAATGTATTTCAGGTCCATTCATTATATACAGTCTGCAGTTGTACCTAAAAAGCACTCGTTTATTATTTTCCAATTATCATGTGTAATTTTGCACAGAATTATATAAGTAATTATTATATGACATTATATTATATTACAGTAATTATTATACTAATATTTCAAGCTATTTATCCATAATCCAATATAGATTTCTGGAATGCTTTTTTGAGTTACTCCATTTCAAGAATAATGATATGGGATGTGCACTGGCCTGATTAGAGTTTGTCAGGAAAAAAAAAAGTTATTTTTGACACAATATATTATGTTCGCTATTAGACTAGTTGTAGTTTTCATTCTGAGCACGGGTTCGTTACAGAAGCCTTGAAGGTTGTGATATTATAATCATAATGATTTGCAAAATAGCACATGAGCAGCTGCCATTCTAGATTTCGCTAAGATTTTTGATCTTGTGGAAAAAAAGATGAAGTCTTTTTCTGAACTGCATCTCCAGCTTCTGTGATAGAAAACAAATGATGATATTGCTGTGTGCCCTGGGTATTGATGAGATAATTGTATTTGTTGGTGTTTTTATTGTGCGGAAGGGCCTGTATTGATTAGTGTACTGTATATCAGAAGGCTGTTCTCTTCTGTAAAGCTCCAGCGATCAGGCCTCTGGGAGTGAAATCCGCAGGGGAGATGATATTTGTGCAGCTGGTCCCCTTCCTGTGTAGTTAAGAAAGCCTTACGTGAGTGAGGACCATATGTGATCGGCTTTAATCTGTGACCGCAGAGAAGTCGTAAGAGCAGGACCGGGCAGGAGGCCACGTTGAGCAGACTGCGTCTGATCATATACAGCACCTTCATCACTGTTCCTTCTTGACCTGAGAAACAGATGCTGTAGATGGGAAATTGAGACAGCTGCCGTTTCCTACCAGTGAACCTGTCTGAGTTTGTAAATCCGCCAGGCAGATGTTGGATCTCCTCTTTTCTGGTGATACATTTTTTGGGGAGTTGCAGAACATCTCTCGATTTGCATCTTTTTAGAGGGCAGACACATCTGTAGAGGATTATTCTGCTTTGTGAAATAGACCTCTTTTACCCTTTTAATTTCTTTACACTTTTAAGTGCGTAAGAGTAAACAAGATTAGGATCTACTGAAAGAAATTAGATGGAACTGTATTTGGGCTCATTCCTACTACTCACAGTTATTTTACAATTATTTACAACAGATAAAGTTGTGGGGCATGTGATTCTCTAATAAATATTTGTGTCCTAAACATAGTATCTGTTTATCTGAGCACCTCCACCACCATTATTCACAAAGGAGAAAATAAGACACAAGGCCGTGTTTGAGATTTCCTGACAGTGTTAAAGCTGGTGTCAGGACCTGATTTCTGATGAACAGATCTATCTTTATAGAAAAGATCATTCTGTGCTGGAATCAGCCCAGATACACACCAGGGCTGAGGAGAGTATCTCACACAAACAGGCTCACGTAACTGAACTTTTTAGTAGTGAGGTCGATTATGAAAGGGGTTGATACAAATGTTCAAAATCCTCAAAGATCTTGACAGAGTCAACCCAGGGGACTTACTATCACATTTGAACACTTTATCGTGACCCCCGTCCTTTTTAGTTGTATACCCAAACATTAAAAGTGTCCTAGACCATGGAAATGGTCATGCCAGCTCCGCCACCGCTATTTATTGGTATTGCAATCACAGTTTTACCTTGAGTCTGATGTTTTATTTTCTGCTGTCTTGTCTTCAGATTGCAGGTGTGGAGTATGTCTACTTCATACAGAAAAACACGCTCAATTGGAAAGACAGGACTCTTCTCATTGAGGCACATAATGAGACCTTCGCCAGCAGAGTGACTGTCATTGAGACCTGCAGTTACAGCGTAAGGATGCCCTATGTTTAACCTGAGTTATAGCCAACACTTAACAGTTTTACAAGTTACTGCTATTCTTCTATATAGAATGTACTGTATACAAGATACATTTGACACAAAGTGTTACTATAACTATAATACAGCAGTAAATAATGAAAGCAGTTTTTTCCTGTTTTTTTCATAGTACACATTATACAGTACAACAAAAAATATTATCAAAATATTTTCTTCTATTAAAGTTAAAATGTTAACTTGTTTTCTAAAGTACTGTCCAAGTAATTTTGCAGGAATACAGCTACTGTAAATGCATTTGTGTGCCCAGCCTGTTTAACAGAAACATTCTACATTTTCAGCAGAACAAGCATTAATCTGTGCTGTCAGAAATGAGGCAGTTTTGACATTGCCTGCTGTCATTCTGTTTCCACTTAGCATTAATCTTTCAGGCAGTAATCCCTGTGAAATAACTCGTTTTTACTTTTTCCTTCAAAAATTTCTCATAACATTGCAGAGCTCTTCTGTTTTGCTGCAAGGCATTTATTTTTTCCCAGTGGCTACACCAGTGTGCTGCTAGTAAGTGACATTGGAGCTGACATTCAGAGGTGCTATATCAGTGACTCAGAGAAATGGGGTTAAAATATTTCGGCGTTCGACTCTACCTGTCAGTGTGGCTGATGGAACTACTGAATGTGACTTAACCTGCAATGGGAAAAACTGTCCTACATTTGGAAGGTGCTAATTACTGTATGTGCCCTGGATTTTCAATTCACGTACAGGAGCAGATCTATTTATATACACATGCTGGATTTTCTGTGATCCGCCTGTAACGAAGCATGTATATTTACTGAGCATTACTGACATCTCACATAATCATGAATATACAGTGCTCATCCTTCGACAAAGGTTCAACATTTTGTTGCTGTTGGAGCTTTTGGACAGGCCTTTATATTAAGAATCTACATAATGTACTCCAAACCGATAAGCTAAAAATGCTATTAGTATGTAAATTAGATTTGAAATCAAATGTGAATATTCACAGTTGTATATATATTCAACTTACCTTGCACCAGAAATGATCGGTTCAGGTATAAAGGAATAGCTTCAGTGTTCAGGAACGGCTGTCTGTGTGTTAGAAAAGCTGATCACATGACTTCGGGGTATCTGTCTCTATCAGCTCCTGTAGCGATACAAACTCAATCAGGGAGACCAAGTGGCTTTGAAACGTTTGAAGCAGTAGAGGGGCCCAGATCTGCAGGTCTCTTATCCTTTTGATTAGAGTGACACCCATCATTAAGAAGCTGAATGTGACAGTACCTGAATCAGGTTTCCATTCTCAAGTGAATTACCAGGCCACGGGCGCATAAACCGTGGAGCCCAGAGAGACTTGAAAGATTTGCAGTGATCTGTGACCGAGATGGGAATCATTGTTCACCTATAGACAATATCCTGTTTCCTTCACAAAGCTGACTTCTATGGGCGAGGGCAAGTAAAAAAAATCTTTTTGAAGAAGGTTAATCTAAAATCTGATTTGAGTACTATTGAGTGGCCCAGTGAAATTAGAGAGTTGAAAACAATAAAAAACAATTATAGCTAGGCTCGATGTTGGCCGTATATTAACTTCTCACAACACCTGACGGAAGTGATTTTGCCCGAAAGAATGGAAAAGATTACACAATTCTAATGTGCAAAGCTGGTAGAGATCTATCCAGAAATACTGGCAGCAGTAGTTGATGCCAGAGCTGCTTGTTGGCTACTGAATTAGGTGGCTGGATAATTAAGCTATTTCAATTTGTTCATCTTCTTCTCAGGTTTGGCTGACATTCAACCACCTTCACATACTGTATAATAGGGCTCAGTTGTACATGATTCTATTTTGAATTAAAAAATTAAATAAGTACAGACAGTGTATGCGAGACCCTGTACTATACTAACAGTGCAGAAAACCTGTTGTTCACACACATCTGGCCCTATTCAATTAAACAAAAACAGAATCACTACACCATAGGGCCTGATTTTCCTTAAAATTTCATAAATCCTTCATTCATCTTGCCATTTAACTTTTTTGTGCTTTTGTGAGTTACACGTTGTTGCTTCACTAGTCTTCTGCAGTAGAAAGGCAAGTTAAAATGTGAACATCGCATTTCATTTACTGACAGCTGTGCCTTGTTTGCTCTGGACCTGCAGCACCTCTCAGGTTTAGAGTCCTGTGAGTCAGGTCTGCCCCTTCCTGGTGCTGGGTACCCACACACCTGCTCGTTTGTGTTCTATTTAAGCAATTAAATCAACAAAGCCTTAGAGGACCTTATAAAAGGTTTGATAGTTAAGAGGTTAAATTTCAACTGTTGTTTTCTTTTTGTGAACAACGCAAGCTTGTAAAAAGATATAACAAAGCTTTAACATTTCCTAAATAAAAGCCCAACATTTTTAGGAAGATAGAAAAACAACTTGCAGAGGTTCTAAGATAAGTGGGTCATTTATAATAATCACATTACCAGCAGGTGTGTAGGTCCCCAGAAAGCTCTGTGCTCAGCACTTCATGACAAAAATTGAACATGCATTTACAATTTAAAAATAGAAAACTTGAAAAAAAGGGAAAAGGATGCAGATCCTTGTGACTTCTGTGTTTCTAAAAGTGTTGTGTAGCATTTTCCTTAATAAATTCCAGGGGCTCTGGCTTGAACCAGGCAGTGGCTTCTGACCCTTCACCTTGTAACATCTTGCAGTGTACATGGAGAAACTCTGAACCAGCCTCTGCTCGCTTGAAATCACTTGCACTCCTGCCATTACCTTCGCTGGTGGTGACCAAGTGTTTGTAGAAGCTGTCCACGTTTTCCAATCTAATTGAAAACATTTTCATGTGCATGAGATATCTTAGCACTGAAGGCCTTATCACTGCCTCAAACATCTTCTTCAGCCATTAGGTTGGTGTGGGTGGTCCCTCGTACACTTTGTACCTGGGACATGACCAGAGTCTTTACGTTTACCAATCGTGTTGTGAGACTGCTGCTTTCAGGTGCCTTGTGTTTTGGTGTCATACCACTTTTTAAGTATTTTATAACCCAAACAAAAGTCCAAAAATAGTCCAGAAAGGCAGTCAGAGCTTCACTGACCTTGTTGCAGTGACAGTGAAGTGGGAGTGAGGGACTGCTCTTCTGCTGCAGAATTCCTCGCTAAGTGCCAAGGGCGTGACCCCATGTCTCTAACGTGTCCTGTGACATGCGAATATAGGCCAGTGAGAGACACTGAGGTCTACAGACTAGATGGCAGCCCGTCAGAGTTCAAACTCAAAGTACGCCTAGTAATGTGCGATCATGGCCTTTGACACTACTAATTAAGCATGTTTTTTAAGTTGCACGCGTTAGCGTGTGTTAGACAGTGGAGGCTTGAAAATACATGGGAAGTGTTTACGGTGATGGTATACAGTGCGAATGGTGTAGTTGAGAGATCTGGGACCTCTGTCACCCCTCGTACATCTACTCCAACCCGGTCAGATTGAGCTCCGGTGTTTTGTGATTTACACATTAGTCACTGCTCTCAACCCAATATCAAAACTGCGTTCTTATTGGTTAAGTGTGAATAGCAACACTATCATATTCACCATCAGTTGTATTAAATAAAATCAAAGTACATTAGCAATCGTTATAGAATTTATTTCCTGTAAACTATACCTATAATTTCGGCAACATACAATCAGGAAAGGGGAAAAACCGAAGACTACACAAATCTTAAGCGCGTGGTAAACGCCTCCTATTGTTATCTTCTTTTAAAGGTCTCTGGAGCAAACAGTGGAGTACGTCAATCCGGAGAAGCTGTATAACAATAATTTTCTTGTCAGATACAAAGATGGCATCTATACTGTGTGAAGTGTACTATGAAGTGTATGTTTTGCAGCTGTGATAAATTACATGCCTTTGTAGAGGAGACAATCTATTTATTTTAGATTCCCCAGCTGTTACCTTTTTCCATACGGCACCAGTATCGTCCTTCCCAGAGTCACACATGTCAAAGCGATGCAGCAGCCTGCGTCATCTCTGCTCATCTTTACTGCCCGCAGCTGCTCCGGTTTCTGTTAACGGGCAAATTTAAAGAGCGGCTTTCATTTTACTGTATCGTTATGCTGCTTTTTGTTTCTTGATGAAGACCTGCTGTATATTCTGTATGTCCCACAAACTCTCCCTGGAGAAGAAAGGGTAACGTTTATAGGAATATCTAGATTTAATACATTTCTTGTTATAATTGGTGCAGTTCTTCCGAAGCATTTAGTTAAATGAAAATGTATGAAAAGGTTAACGTTTTTCAGAAAATGGTCTTTCTTTTGAAACAAGATTCCTGTGTAAGTGAGTCGTTCATACTGGGTATAATCTGACATGTTCAGCATAAATAAATATTTCTATATTTTTCACTTATAGGTTCACCCCGAAAATGAAGACTGGACATGCTTTGAGCAGTCTGCCTCCTTGGATATCAAATCATTCTTTGGTTTTGAAAATACTGTGGAGAAAATTGCAATGAAACAATACACAGCCAACATAAAGCGGGTAACTATTTGTATAATGGGGTAATATTGGAAACAGGGCTGGCTGGTACTGGATTTATAGCAGTAACATTTCTTGTGATGTTTTGTAATACATTTTCAATTATACTCTTCATAAAGGGGTGGATACTTCTCTATTTAACTGTCAGATCCAGAGAAGAACTGCTTGACCATTGGTGACAAGCACTGATACAAGCTAGCAGAAAGTTCATGTTTCCTGACACATTTTACTGGATTGTTCAGCAGTCAGTTTACAGGTGCACAGAGTATGTAGAAAGAAAGTGAGAGGAGTGGCCAGAATAATATATTGAAAGGTCGCTTTGCCAGTCATGTAGGTCATCAGCAAATACAGTATATTTATATAAGAACAGAAGGGCAGCAATAGAAGCCAAGGTGTTCAAAAACAAAATCATGCAGTGCAATTAAAAAACAGAAGCAGAAACATAGAAACATGCATACAGCAGCTTGTTGAGGCTAATGTTACACTCCAAATTTTACAACAGCACACTAGCTGTGATCTTCTCACATTCCAGCACTGAGTACATTCCTATGCCACTGCACACTGTCACTGCTGGTTTCGTCTGGAATCTGAGTCGAGTACTCATTGTAGCAGTCAGCCGTACCCTGTGGTTCCTCCACTCGTTCACTCACTGATACAATGCAATTACGGGTATCGAATTAAAAACTGAGAACCCTATGCATTTACTGCATTCATGACTGCTGTCTTCACTTTGTTTGCAGTCACCTTTGTTTTATAGAATAAGGCAAATACACTCACAGGGTCCAAAGGCAAGGCAGTTACTTTCATTAGCAGTGTATAACAATTGCCTTCATTAGCTCTGAGATGTTGAGCCTTTACTTTTATTTTTTCAGTTCTTAAAATTAAATGAAAAAATTAGTTTGACAGCAGATCTCTTGCTTTAGGTTCTCAGCCTTCCAAAACTCCGAACTCTCAACAGCTGCTACTGGCATGTGGAAAGACCCTTCTCTGCATGGCTGTATCCCTCCTAACAGCTTCTTTCAGGTTCAAAACCACAGATCAGACAATCAGACCAAAGGTAACATGAGCAAAGCAAGCCCCAGACTGACTCTTATTGGCCTTATTCACGGCCTCGCGGTGGGTGTCCTACATCCTTCCAACAGCAGAGGCAGATGTACAGAGCTTTGAGACATGTTCATAAATACGTTCAAGTAGGTACAGTAGCTGTGTTGGCAAGTGTAGACTGCAGAGGAACAGGTACAGGGAACGGCTTGTCGTGTGCAGTTTCTACAGGACCCTGTCATCTGTGCTGGCAGGCGCTGTCTTCTCCATGTGCTTTCTCTGTGTGTGGTGTGTTGGGCATTGGTGGGGTAGATGTCACCTCGACTTCCTGTGCAGTCCCTTTTATTTTGGACCACTTTCATTTCTTAACACAACGTGGCGCCGGTGTCATTCACTGTACATCAATCCAAGGAATCATTAGAAGGAGCCGCTGCCAACAGTGCAGGACGCGGCCTTCAAAGATGCAGGTGGGCGTTCCCGCCTTGCAGCCTGAGCACATCAGAGCAGAGGTCCTGTCTGTGTGACCATTAAGGATCTCCTAACACTGTTCATATAAGGAGGACATTTCCGATCAATTCCACATGGGCTTTCACCATCTGGCCTACCTCATTTCCCCCCTTAATTTTATTGTCAAAGTAATTTCTGACTCGCAGTTGTTGCTTCTACTGTAACAGCCACCACAACTCACTCAGGTGGGTGTTGCGCTTCAGCAGAGAGAGTAACACAAGTCCTCTCCGATACGTACAAGCTATTTGGAGATCTATGGGGAGGAAAAGCACTGTAGACATTCAAGTTATTGATCATTTTTATGTTACTGTTTTTAAACTTGAATGTTTCTAAAATGTCTGCAAATCTGAAAGTGTTCATTCTTCCGGAGTCCAGAGTGTTTGTATTCAGTTTCGTTTGTTCGGGATCAATGTGGAATCCATGAATGGAGATCATAGGGAGATGCTGGACCAGCTCAGACAGAGAACCACAGAGTCTTAGAGTGATGATATGCTTTTGGCTTCTTTTCAGGGAAAAGAGGTAATAGAGCACTATCTGAATGAGCTGATAGCAGAGGGTGTCACCGAGATTCCCCGCTGGGTCCAACTCGAGAAGAGAGTCCAGGCGATGGCCACAGTCCAGTCCAGTACCTCCACACAGCCCTCCTTAGGAGACTCCAGACTGGAGCTGGATGTTCTCACTCACAGCAGCACCAAAGAGCCCAGTTGTAACCTCAGCAGCAGCGCTACTGAGCCAACAACACCAGACGGTGAGTAGGTGGAACTGGAAATTACCTTACAAACAGTGCAGAATGTCCTTTATGAATTTGTGTAAAAACAAACAATGAAAAACCCTTCTATGTAGTGTCCCTGACTTGTGCATCAGGCTTGCAGACCTCAGATGTATTCCTTTATGTTTTAGTAAATTTCATTTGACATAACAATAATTTCCCAACAATATTTCTGAGTGAATTCAGCAGTACGTCTCTGTAGAAATGTTTGAATTGTTTTGTCCTGAGTGCCCTCTAGTGGCTCAGCTCACACGTTAGCCATTTGACTTTGCTTTCCTGTTTGCAATGTACTTCATTCTTGTTATTTCCCTAGTCTTTGGGGTATACATTTACCATATGTAACTGAGTTTATGAATGCACTTAATAAAATACATTTAAATAGCCTAAGATATTATTAAGCTAACATAATATAATGCATTGTGTGTACTGTAGGTGAAATCATAAAAAAAAGATTTGACTTCATACATTTGACTTAATTTTCACATTGTAAAAAGTAAAACATTTTTCTGTAAAGTGTCACCAAGGAAAGGCAAGGCTCAGAATTTTGAAAATTGAATATTTTCTTTTGTCACTCGGGTTGCTCACTGCTCTGTCTTTTCATTGACGTGGGCCGTACGCCGATAGTAACAGCTGCTACCTTCAGACAAAGCGGCCCTTTGAGAGGGCCTGGACTGTCCTGTTACATAACGGGCTTGTGGTGTGCTTACTCTTTACCAAGAATTGGGAGAAAAGCTTTGCAGTTTCTGGTGATGATCTTCTGGTTTTTTTTGTTTTAATATCAGTTTTGGAATAGGATTGACTGACCTCCCTGCAGCTCTTGTAGATGATAAAATAATGGGAATGTGTTAGGAGAAGGCAAACAAAGCTTCTGATTCTCCATTAACTCTACCTGGAACTGGCTCTAGTGCTCGTCACCTGATAACACCCAAATCGTGATCTTCTGAGTCCTTTGACTCTGAAATGTGTTGCTAGACTGGTGGCTTGAATGCGTTCAGTTCTGGGCTCTGGAGTCTTAGGGGTGTTGCTGTGCCCTTGAGCAAGGTACTGTACTTCAGTGAGATTGCTTCAGAAAAATGACCATCCGTACCAATATAAATCATTTTGAATAGATGTTACCTAGATAAATTAACATCTGATATAGGAGCTCTATCTGCACCATAAAAGACAACATCAGTCATTTAATTTCTTCTTTTTTCTTCTTTCTTTGGAAAGGTGTTACTTCCTACTAAACTCAAAAAAGTGTATGTATGCTATTGTTTTCTGTGTTTAAGTAGTGAATTGCAGAAATCAAGAACTAAGATATTTTTCAGTCTGTGACGTAGTACTTTGGAATTCTGAAAGTTCCACTCTGTATTAATATCTAATATTTAAAAAGTTTTTGTTTGCTTCTTGGTGATCTTGAAATGGTGTCTGTTTTGTGTACAATCAGTATCATGTTAACCTTTAACTGTGTCCTGCAATAAAAGTATGAAAAGAATCTGGTGAGGTGACTATGACACAAAAGGCTGTTAACTCTTTCTCAGCCCACAGATCAAAGTGCAGTAGGTGTGAGAGGCAAAAATTAAACTAAATCCTCACACGGGCAGCTGAGATTCCTGTGAGCTCATTCATACCGGTTTCTTCTTGCATAGACATTTTTCCAGAAGCTGGATATTAATGTTCGATCAATACCCATGGGTTTGTAATGCATTTAATGAGAAATTGATATATGATTATAAATGTTGTCAGTTGTTTGTATTCAGTTGATATTACCATATTCAGTGACTCATTGTTAAAAAAAACTGTACTGTGGTTTGAATAATATCAAATGTAGTAATTAATACTATATAATTAATTTCTTTAGCAGACAAATTAGATGCTGATTACATTGAACGCTACCTTGGACAGTTGACACCTATGCAAGAAAGTTGTTTAATCCAGCTGAGACAGTGGCTACAGGAGACCCATAAAGGAAAGGTACTCGCATTTTGTCTTTTAGAACTATGTAGGAGGTTATGATAATCTAGGAGAATAATGAACTATCACTTCCCCTCTAAAAAAAACAAAGCAGTATGACATTTTTTCATTTGTGTAACTGTCATTTTTAGCAGGACTTGCTCTTTGTCTCCTGTTCCATTCATCCTTTCCTTGTGTGTCATGTTTGTGAGCTCCTGTACTGTGTAGTGTGACTGTGTGCTTCTCTACAGTACATGTGTGCTCTTTACTCATTGTGCAGTTAGTGCTGGACGTTCACAGGCAGTCTGTGTGCATATCATTATCTCTTTAGACTGTTGGATTTATCTTGAACTTAATCTCTGGAAAATTGTTTATGCTTCTATGAAGATTATATCCTTTTTAGCTGGATGTTTTTCACCAAGCTATACTGTCAAAAAGGCACATTTCTCAATGCTGCATTTACTAGTGTATATAGCTAAGAGAAAAGTTACACAAAGCACAAGTACTCCAGTATGTTGACAGAGGTGCAAAGATAGCAAATGTACTGCGTGCTGAAAAACTCCCAACAATGATGGCACACAGCTAACAGCTCTAACACAAACAGTAAATAGTAATTAGATATGCCAAGTAAAGTCAACATTATGATGCAGTGAAACTGCTGACCTGACAATATATACAGTTAGTTTATTTTTCAAGCAGTTAAAATTATTTAGTCTTTTTTTTGTTCTGTACTTACATCTAAGGAGTTGATAAGCTATAATGGACAGGTTAAGATTTTTTTTAAAATTTGTAATGGCATTATTGTTGTTAACTTTGCCTTCGGTTTCTAATTGTAAAATGGAAGTTGGCTTAAAGAGTTTGTTGCCGATTTCTTTTTGCCAAAATACTCATTGAGAGAGAACATAATTTAACACTCTGCCACTGATGTACTATTCACTACATGTTTTCCAAATGATAATTTTGTTCTGTTGAGCAATGCATGATACATCATATCCTGATGTCCTGTTATGTTAAGTTAGTGAATACTTTGGACTGATAATATACTTAGAACAACACGTTGATAACAAACACAATAAACTATTTTGATATTTGTTCTTGAAATACAGTACTTTACATTTCAACCGTGATTAGTTGCATTAGTATTAGTGGCTTAACTCTATGAAAATAATTTTCTTTTTCTGTAGTCAGAAGCTGGTGAATGGAAACCAGAAAAGGTAAAACGTAATGCATGCTGTGTGAAACTGTGTGGGGAGGAATCATCAGTTTCCAAAACAGACACAATGGTTCTGAAATATTATGTCCAATCAGCATTTCTCCTGGCAGCAGTCTCTCGAGGGCAGCGAGGCAGTGCATTTTGTTAAATGTAATTCTGTCAATACAGAATTCTGCGGTTAGACAGATGGTTTAGGAATGTGAAGTACAAGCCAGAATTGTACAGGACATAGCATAGACTTCACTTTTATATATGAACATTTATGTACAGCTACAAGAATTCAGAGATTGGACAAAGTACGTAGCGCAGTGATCTCTGTTCCTTAATTGGACAAGCAGTAGATATATTTACCTGGAATGTATCTGCTTCCTTAATCTAGAAAACACATGGGAGAGGATTTTGGAAACATGGAGAGCAAACAGAGCCAAGCTCTCTTTTAACAGGACTTGGGGATGTTGTCCATTTACATTGATATCATTTTGCTTTTCATATTAGCTGATGCTGATAAACCCATCTCTGGTGGGTTTTTTTAAATAGAAAGAAAGACTCTTATAAACTGTTTATAAACTCAAATGGAACAAGATTAAGGTTCCTCCAGAATGTATTTTCTGTGATAAAACCCGAAAATAAAAGACTATGACCACTTTGTATTGCAGGAAGAGAATTGTGGAAAAAAAATAAAATACAAATTTGAAATGTAATAATTCTATCATTCTATAATTCTAGGAATTTGAATCAAATCTGTGGAGGTTTTTAACAATTCGACAGTATAGATTTGTTTAATTACATGTTCTTAGAATATTTTTAAATATATTAAATGTCAGACTCTTTAAGTTAATATGATTATCTATTGTATTGTTATCAATTTCCAACAAAATCCTTTGTGTACAAGTGAATCAGACGGTATTTAACAGTGAGCCCGTTTCAGTGTCACCGGTGGTCATGCTTGTTTACATTAGCAAACAGAAACCCCTGGCAGGTTCAGGCCTCGTGGGTATTTATACAGCTGACTCTGTAACAACAGCCAGTGCAATTCATTTTTTCAATGGGATGTCTCCAGTCTAAAAGCCTGGGATTTCCCAGTTAACTGTTGGTCACACTTCTGTAACACAGGTCTCTTTTTACCCCTTTCTGCACTGGCCTCTACATTCATGGCATTCAGTAGCAGTACAGTATCAAACGTTTAATTTAAAAAAGAGAAGAAGACACTTTGCACATTAAAGAGCAGCATGGGCTCAAAACATAGAAATCTCCTAATAGTTGAATTTCACGATTCCTTTTTATAATTAATGAGGAAAAAAAGTTTATAATTATTATAATCATGTTGTCATTTTTAAAATCTATTACCACATTTCTTTCCCTTGTAATCAGATGATTATTATTTGCAGCTTTTTCCCATTGTAGATTGGATCAGAAGTGTATTATGTAATGATGTAGAGTTTCGTATTTACAGAGGACGATTCAGCTAGTATATTTAAGAGTCAGCCATGTACCATACCTATGCTATTAAACAATTTAGGCTTTAATGGAAGCACAAAAATTATATTTCTTTCATTCAGTAGTTATACTTTTTTTGCACAATGAGAGAAATCAGGTTGTTTTCAATAAAACAATCTCCTAGTTAAGCAAAATGCATTCTGGCTCTTAATGTTCTGTTCTTTCTATCGACCTGCATGACCAGGCCCATCTACGACTACCTCAGCAACATGTTGAAAACAAGCCTTTGTTTACAACATGAGGGAAGATTGCATTCAGCCATTTGACTTATTTTTTCACATGCCGTAGCTACTTGTGTGCTGTAATGGGTGGGCAGTTGATCTGGGACTCGTGAGGTATTCTGCTTCGCTAACTTGACTTCCGTCTCCGCAGATCCCCAAAGACGAGCACATTCTGCGTTTCCTGCGGGCCCGGGACTTCAACATGGACAAGGCCCGAGAGATGCTGTGCCAGTCGCTCACCTGGCGGAAGCAGTTCCAGGTGGACTACATTTTGGAAACCTGGAGGCCCCCGGCCTTCCTCGAAGAGTACTACGCCGGGGGGTGGCACTTCCACGACCGCAATGGGCGCCCCTTGTACATCCTGCGCCTGGGGCAGATGGACACCAAGGGGCTGGTGAAGGCCATGGGAGAGGAGGCCCTGCTCAGGCATGTACGTGCGCCGCCGTCATGGCGATGACACAGCCCCTGCCTGAGCATCACTCCGTCCAACTGCTCTGGGCCGAGGACACACAAATCTCATCTCTGTGTCTTGCTGCGCAGGTGCTGTCAATCAATGAAGAAGGACAAAGAAGATGTGAAGAAAACACCAAAATATTTGGCAGGCCCATCACGTTAGTACATTTTCTATTGTTTCTTTTCAACTGCAGCAAAATCTTTGTTGAATTATACCAGCAGCGGGTGTTAGCTAATTAACCAAATTAATTTTGTATTAGCTTATTAAAAATTGTCCTAAGTATTTTATAGTATCAGAATGCTGCCGTTGTACAGCATTATAAACCCTCTGTACTTTGTACATAACGGCAAAGAGTTGTATGCAGTGCCTTGCAAAGGTTATGACTCGCCTTCTTTTTCTTGATGATTGTGCTTGAATTTTCCCCTGACTTGCTTTAAAAGCTCCTTAATCTTCCTGGTTCAGGCCTTGCTTGAAATTCACTGCCTGAACAAGTAACCTCACAGAGACAGATGTTTTTTATCTGAAATTATGAGAAGCAGACATTGCAGTACACACAGAGGCCTCTCAAATAATTGTGTGGCTTCTTAAAATAATTCTGTGCACTTTACATGAATTTTGTGAGCGTGTGTGCGTGTCTGTGTGTGCCCTGCAATGGACTGGCGTCCCATCCAGGGTGTATCCTGCCTTGTGTCTGTTGCTTGGCGGGACAGGCTGCGGCTCCCCCACGACTCTGTATTGGGTGAACAGGTCAGAAAATGGACAGATGGAAATATTAATTGCACTCTTGTGCAGAGGTTAAAATACATTTGCAAGGCACTGTTTATGTGAAGTGATTTGTGATGGTAGTACTTTGCGCACTGCAGAATTGCACAGAGAAGAGTCATTAACTCGTTGAAAATGTAGTTAAGAGGACTGGGACAGTTCATGTCAAGTTTTGTCTTAAAACATTTTCACAGTTTTACAATAAAACTGTATCCTGTTAAACTTAAAATGACCTTTATTGCAAATTTACACAGAATGAGATTTTCCTGCTGGTGAATAAGGTAATTGGTGTCAATGACCCGATTAAGGGGAAGACTAACACTTTTTTGCTTACAGTCTCTTTATATATTTTTTTAACTTTAGATCATGGACCTGCCTAGTCGATTTGGAAGGACTCAACATGAGACATCTGTGGAGACCAGGGGTTAAAGCTCTCCTGCGAATAATTGAAGTCGTAGAAGCCAATTACCCAGAAACTCTGGGAAGGCTTCTGATTGTCCGTGCACCTAGGGTGTTCCCTGTGCTGTGGACTCTGGTATGTACAGTACTGACAACTGCGGGCCTTGAACTTCTCCTTGAACTAGTGACGCAAGACCTAGCCCGTGGCCTGATAGTGACACTAGCCACAAAAGATTAGCATTTAGTGCATCAACCAGACAGAAGTTTCACTGATGCTTTGATCACCCGTGGTAAAATATTACATAAAATTAATACAAATATTGAGCATATAAATCCCGCTAGATAAAAAGTATTTGCATACAGAGCAGTTTACCTTGTAAGGTAAGGGTTGTGTTGTATTTGAGCTACTGCACATCTTGCTCAGGGTGATGTCACGTGGTTTACTTGTGCTGTATCTGTACACTGGTAATTCATCATTGCACTACTGTTTTTATAGAAGGATTTGCGAACATTTGTCCGTGCTTTCTTCTGGTTTCGCCTTGCAATATGTAATTGTTTTTAAAGTTGTCTTCATCCTTACCGTGGAGTCAAATTAATATTGCAGTATGGCCTACACAGTATTTAGAACATTGCATTGTAGTGTATAGTCTGTAAGAAACTGCTTAGTCACTGTTCAGATGCAGATATTGTCTCAGTGTTTCAAGGACAAACTCAGAAAAGGTTCAGAGTCAATACATTGTTTTGAAATATGTGATGATAATATGCCGTTAATCCTCAATATCTATTTTTCTAATCTCTTTTTTTAGGTTAGTCCATTTATAAATGAGAACACCAGGCAGAAATTCCTCATCTACAGTGGTAATAACTACCATGGAGTGGGCGGACTGGTAGACTACATTGACAGAGAGATTATCCCAGACTTCCTTGGGGGAGACTGTCTGGTAAAATACTTAGATCGTATTCATGAAAATAGACGATTTTCACATTTCTCTAGGTTCGATGTTTCTTGATTCATAGGATTATGGAGTTGTTACAAACACTGTATTTTATACGTAGAATACAAGTAGCTTTTTTTATTTTGACAAAACATCACTGCATTCAATTTGAAAAACATCTAAAGAAGGAAATTCTATTCTTCTTCAGTTGTACGGTATTTTATTTCAGTCCTTGCATTTTAATTAAATTATTAATTTTGTCCACAACACACTCTGAATTGAAAAGCAGAGAAGTAAAATGCACTTCATACAACTAATGTGAGCTTTAACTTTCCAGTGCAATGTCCCTGAAGGGGGCCTGGTTCCCAAATCGTTCTACCAAACAGAAGAGGAACTGGAGACCTCGGATCATATCAGACTGTGGGCAGAGACCATCTACCAGTCTGGGAACATTTTCAAAGGAGCGCCCCATGAAGTAACTAACCTTTATGAGTAGTGTAACCAAAAGCACATTAACGCCTCATTCTCATCCCTTTCCTGTTCGTTGGCTGTCAGTCACAGTTGGGATTGATTGTCTTCCATGAACCCAGACTGACTGTGACTGATAAGGCCAATATGGGATCCACGCATACTGGGGAAAGCTGTGTCTTGGGAGATATCTAGTCATAGTCACGCAGTCCAGTCATGGTGAGCTGTCCTTGTGCTTAGTCAATACCCTTCTTTGGCCTGTGCAGTGCTGAAATACAAGATACAAGCCTTTATTCATAGACGACTGTCATGCACTACTAGCGCACGTCTAAGGAAGGAAATACTTCAGTCTGTCTTTTAATGTTGTAGCACAGGTTTTACTGACATGACTCCACTCATCTGTCTTGTGGACTAGGCATGAGTGGTCTAGCTTTCGGGTTTTCCAAGACCTCTCCGCTGATTCAGGCTTTTTCCTCCTCTCGAGAGTAAGGCAGGAGACGGAACCTTCTCATGTGGAGCACAAACAGCTGAGACAACTGTCAGCATTCTTAAATGTTACCTAAAGGCTTATTTTTACGGAAGGTTTTCATGTACTAATGGATGCATCATTTCATTTTACTGGGTCTATTTTCTGTGACTTTGAGAATGTATTCTTGTTGGAGCATTTGACCATGTTGCTTGCAGGCTTATTTATTATCGTATTCTAATTGTTCTGTACTATTGACAAATACATGTCCCTGATATAGTTCCTTTTGCTTCTAGATTGTTATTGAGATCCTGGAAGGCTCTTCAGTGATTACCTGGGACTTTGACATTCTCAAAGGAGACCTGGTATTCAACATCTTTCATTCCAAGAGGTCCCCTCAGACAACCAGGAAAGACCCCCCTGTTTCGACACCAGGGGGCAACAGCGTGCAGCTGATTGAGAAGAGCTGGGTGCTGGGGGTGGACTACAGCATGGTGGAATCACCCCTCGTGTGTCGAGAAGGAGAAAGCATCCAGGTGACATTCAGTTATTTTCTAACATGCTCAGTCTGTTTTTATGGGTAAGGGGGCTTCATTTCACACGATGCATTGAAAACCGTTCGTTAGGAATTTAGCTGACAATGGTATCTGTTCCAAACACAGCTCATTGCGTAACTGCATTTTTTTTTTTTATTTGTGTCTGGTGCTTCCTGATCCACAGTCAGATGTTCTACCACTGAGCTGTGGACCCATATTACACAAATCTCCACACATATTTGTTTTATCAAAGGTCCGTTTAACCGTTTAACAGCTGGTTTTCATATGAGCATGGACGTGTCAGTCCAGGAATATTGAAGGCTTTAGGCACAGTTAATTACAACAATCAAGGCAGCTAATAAAAAATAATAAATAATACTACATCCTTAAATTCTGGCATTGCAGAACTTAATTCTAACTAGAGATCAAACCCATAATCTGCATGCAATACCAAAAGATCTCTATTTTGTTTTGTGGTCTCCAGCTATGGAAACAGAGTTGGAGTGGGAGAGTGGTAAAAATACACTCGACAGTGGAAAACTGAGTTCAAGCGTCTTTCAAGCACAAGCCCTAGTGTGAGTGTGTGTTAAGAAGACGCTGGTTCCCAGGGTCTTTTGTAGTTGATTAAAATTGAATTTCACTCACTTTTGAACCAAGATAGAAATTGTGATGATTAGGCAGGTGATAAAATGATGAGACCCGCTGTGGAACCGAGAGCTCAGATGGAAAGGAATTCAATTCGGTTTATTTTTATATAGCGCCTTTCACAACAAGGCTGCCCCCAGGCGCAAAGCAAGTGACCGTACATGTTGTGAATACAGAACAGGAAAGAGCAGAAGAAAGGAGCAACTGTGAGGGAAGCGGCTGTCCGTGTGTATGTGCTTGGGAGGCGAGCAGCAGTGTAACCTGGGCTCTGGTCACTGGTCTTAGGGCTCGCACGTCACGCGCTGGCCTGGGTTCTACATCCTCCAGTGGAAGATGAAGGGACCCCCCCTGGTGTCGGCCACCACCCTGCCCAGCGTGGATGACGTCCTGGCCACCTTGCAGGTCTCTTCCCACAAGTGTAAAGTCATGTACTACACTGAAGTGCTGGCCTCGGAGGACTTCAGGTACACCCGCGACGGCCTTGCTCTGGGACTGCTCGGGCCACTTATCGGCTTCTTTAGTAAAGAGAAACTTTTATCGATCGCAGGTACTGTGTTCGGGCCGCTTAGATCTCTGGCAACAAATTATGTGTAATACAATGTATTTTTTGTGACAGCTCAATGCCTTTTTAAATTTTAGATGTAACATCACAAATTGTGTACATACCATTATTACATATTTAAATGCAAAATGTATAAATGTACAGCACTGCTTTAAAAAAAAAAACTTCTTAAAGTTTTTGACAAAACCCAAGCCACTACAGTGTAGGTTTACCATATACCAGGAGACTGAAGAGAGCCGTGGCTTTGCAATGCCTGTGTTTGTTCTCTCTCCAGAGGGTCGATGTCCAGCCTCGAATCCTGTCACAGTGGTTTCTCCCAGCTGAGCGCAGGCACGTCCTCCTCCAGCCAGTCCCAGAGCAGCTCGCTCATTTCCAGATAAGGAGGGACCTTTCCTCTGGGAGCAGAGCACTGACTGCTAACAATGTGAGCCATAAACGATTCTTACACGAAGGGCTAGATCAGGAGGAAACAGTCACTTTATGGAACAGTTCATACATGCTTAGCTTGCATTTGAGCTCAGTTTAGCGACGATGCACTGATTCGTTTTTTAACTCAAAGACATGAAGTTCGATTTGTAATTCATGATTAGTTAGAGGTCAGAATTTTCCCCATCACCAATTGCTAGAGATTCCTATCATTATAGAGTGAGTGATTTCAGGAAGTTGAAAAGTGCTCTCCTTGCATATTTTATAAGGCCATTTTTTGGCTGATTTGCAGGAAAAAACTATTCTGTGCATGGATTACCCATAATGAACAAAACATTACAAAAGCAGCAGAGGATTTTTTTTTACCATATTCAATGAAACAATGTTTCATTTGTTTTAAAACGAAACTGACATTTCGTATTCATTAACAAGAGCACACTCTACAATATATTGTTAAATGCAGTTCTTACATGCATGTACCAATGAAACTATAGGAATGCTAAAAGATGTAAAAAAAAAACTTTGACAGCTCTCAAATCAACTGCACAAATTGTTGTTCTTGCCTGTGCAATCCTAAACAAGCACAGAGTTATTTATACAGAAGATAAAAGATCTCACAATGCATCTTGAGCAACTTAAAGCCATATTAGATTTACTGTGTAGTTCAGGAATATAGAACGTAGCTGAAAGTGATATAGAACTTTGACATAGCAGACTTAATTATTAAAGGGCTTTTTATATCAGCAATATTGTTCTTGATGGAGTACACAGAATGCACTAATGTTTTTGTAAAATGACAGATTGTTTCTGACTTACTGCCTTAAATATCTAAAGCATGATTTAAAGCTGTTCAGAAATACCTAAAAGCTAGTTAAAATTAACTCCTCATCAAATCCAACTTGAGAGTTTGAACTTGAATAAACAGTACCCTCCAGAATTATTGGCACCCTTGGTAAAGATGAGCAAAAAAGGCTACGAAAAAATGTCTGTTGTTTATCAGCTTGATTTTACACTGAAAATATGAGAGAAATTTAACCTTTCAGTGAGGTAAAATATATTCAAAGAAAAAAGAAATCCTTATAAAAATTAAACATTTTTCCTCAAAAACACAGGTGTCACAATTATTGTCACCCCTAGAAATTCCTATGAACAAAATCTAATTGACATATATTCCCATTCATATTTGACCTTTTTTAAGCGCACCTGAGTCTTTAGGAACTCTTAAGTGTTCATCCATGACTTGCTGTTTCCCTGGGGTTTAAATATGAGGTGACACACAGGGCAAACACCCTTAGTTATCCAACATGGGGAAAACAAAAGAATACAAAAATGAAATGAGACAAAAGTTTATTGACCTTCATAAATCAGGCGATGGCTATAAAAAAATAGCTTCACACGTGAAAATACCCATCTCCACTATTAGGACAATAATTTAGAAGTTTCAAACGCCTGGAGCTGTGATGAACGTGCCTGGAAGAGGACGCAAGGGTATTTTTCCCCCACACCCAGTGAGGAAGGTGGTTCGAGAGGCAAAACTTTCTCCAAGGATCACAGTTGGACAATTGCAGGAGTTTGTTGCATCCTGGTGTCACCAAGTCTCCGAAACTACAATTAGACGCCACCTCCGTTTGGAAGGCTTGCCAGAAGATAGCTTCTGCTGTCGTCAAACCACTAACGTAAGCACCTGGAGTTCACGAAACATCACTGGAACTTTGATTGGAACTGGGTTCTATGGTCAGATGAGCCAAAAATAGAGCTTTTTGGCAACAAACACCAGAGGTGGGTTTGGCATAAAAAGTCAAGGTCATGCAGAAAAGAACCCGATCCCCACTGTGAAGTGTGGTGGTGAATCTGTGATGTTGTGGGACTGTTTTTCTTCCAAAGGCCCTGGGAATCTTGTTAGGATACGTGGCAATTATGGACTCCATCAAATACCAGGAGATCTCAGAATCGAAACCTGGCTGCCTCTGCCAGGAGGCTAAGACTGGGTCGTGGTTGGATCTTGCAGCAGGACAATGATCCAAGGCATACCTCCAAATCCACACCAATGGTTCACTGACCACAGAATCAGGCTTTTGCAGTGGCCAGCCCAGTCCCCTGTCCTAAACCCCATTGAAAACCTGTGGGCTGAGCTGAAGAGGAGAGTCCACACGTGGGGACCAAGGGCTCTGAAGGATCGGGAGAGATTTTGTATGAAGGAATGGTCTCGGATCCCTGTTTTTTCCCCGACCTTCTCCAGCTTTATAAGTGAAGACTGTGCTGTTATCTTGGCAAATGCAAGGGTGCCAATAACTGTGACAACAGTTTGAGAAATTTAAGGATTTGTTTTTGAATGACTTTAGCCCAACAAGAGGCTAGATTCCTCTCATGTTTCCAGGGTAAGAGCAAGCCCATAAACATACTTTTTCATAGCCTTTTTGTTGCTCATCTTTAGCAAGAGTGCCAATACTTCTGGAGGACACTGGCTAACATGACTACTGGTCGACAGTATGGGTACATTGACAAGGGCAATTTCAGTGAAAATATTTTTAAAAACTACCTTTCCACACCTAAACCATCACTTATTTTAAAATAACATTGAAGAAATGAATACTGCAAGATTTCCAGTGATGTGTATTGAATATGTTAAGGACAGGGTAACTGATGTGAAACTCAGTCTAAGCTTTTCTTTTTAAACTGTATGCTAATGAATTTGAAACTATTTTATATTATATAATAGAGTACAACACTAGCACATTGAGCACTGTTTTAAGACAAAGGCATTCAAAACTTTTAAAAAATGAACTAGTTATTTATTCTTAAGAACATTTAGAGAGTATTTACAACTGTAAAAAAATAAAAATTCTAACATTAAAACTTTATCTGCGTTTTATTTCCTAGAGATACTTAATGACATTGCAAAGCCAGTCATTTCACTACAATATCACAGCTCACCTTTTGGAGCAATTCTTGCCACATAATTGGATTTCTGCAAAGAAAGTGCTGGATATAGATGCCAAGGAATATTATAAAGTACTAGAAAAAAAAAAGAGTAAATTGCCCTACATACTAAAAAAGGTTAATACTCGAAAACCTTGGCTGTTAAAATGAAGCTCCACAGCCTACATCTGCAGCAAACTAAAGACCCCTTCCATGTGCTGTATCTCAGGTAGGACTTTACTGGACTCACTTATTCCAGTTGGGTTCAGATGGGAACACGCTGGCCAGTCGCAAGCAGCAGTCCACTGAGGGCTCGTAAAAGACAGTGGAGGCGGTGCTGGGCTGCAGCTGCTCCTTGTTACTCAGGTAACAAAACTAATCTAAGGAGGAAGGGCAACTGTGTGATGTACCAGACCACAATTAAACCAAAATTACTAAAAGATGTACTCTAGTCACTGCAGGTTGGAGGTGCCTGGGCAGGCTTATAGTAGGATTGCAGGGCATTTTCAGGATTCATGCCAGTTAAGCTACTCCACACCTTTGAAATAGGAAACCAGCCTGCAGCAGCTGCCACACCTGAGGTGGAACAGGCCCATTCCAGCCAGGAGACCCCGTCATCTCCCAGCTTGGCACCTTGGTTGCTGTACTGTAGCAGCACTGACAAGCCCTTGGTCTTGTTAATACTAAAGGGCTTCTGCAGCTGTACCTCTCAAGAGATTTAATCTGTGCACTACAGGTGTGACAACTGCAGAACCCAAGCTCCTTGGGTCTAACCAGTACAGATCTCCAACTTTCCAGTAGTCAGGTTAAGACATCCAGTTTTCCCTCCAGGTAACGAGGGCCTGAGAAATGCTACCTAGGAAGGTAATGTTTGCAATTACTGTCCTACCACAGATCAATAAAGCATTGAAGATGATCCATTGGGACCACAGCACAGTTCAAAGTTAAAGGCTGCACACAAGACTTGCAGTGACACCTTGACTTTATTGTACAGACATGAGACAGATGTTACAAGAGCAGGCTCAAGGACATGACAGAAGGTCAGAGGAGCCCCATAAAAAACACAGATCTTGGTTCCACGTCACAGATGCAGTGCTGAGGCTCTCCCCTTCCTGTTGGCAGAAGAAAAGTGGGGGGGGGGGGGACCCAAGAGCACACCTCTTGTGACCATACCAGGTCAATAACACTCCTACCCAGGCCAGTCACACATTGGACTCCCATGCTTGGGAAACATGAGCCTTCATCAAGATGACCACACCACTCAGACTTGTCCATTGGAGATACTGCTGTGAGTAACAAAACTGAACAAAAGGACTGGGTTGTTAGGCTGATGCTTCATTTTCAACTCATTTCAACAGCTGAGTCACAGGCAAAGTACCCTACCTGTATTTCAGTTGGGGGATCTCTTCTCACTGGTTGTTTAGCAGGGTTTCCATTTCCCAAAGAAATGGAACTGGGCTCTCCCTGGTATACAGCTTTCCTTGTGCCGTGACCATTGGAATGGGGATCTGGTGACAAGGAGCAGATTCCACAACAGCATGCTGCCAAGATACATCAATGCAAGGTACTGTACATACCCATGAAGACTCAATTGTGTCAAGAGCATCAGTTCCGTGCTGAAGGACATGCTGCCTCCACAGTAAGTACAGAAGAGCAGCCAGTTCACCTACATCTACTACAAGTCTCCAAAATACAAAAATTAACAATGTTGACAAGCTCAGCTTGTTTTTGCATGCAACACCCTGAACATCTACATTCGATAGCACTGACCAGGAGGTCTGCAACAGCGGTTTACTCCACAGCTTCAGCTCACCCATGAGCCGACATACACCCTTTACACAGTATCCCAGCACATGTAGCTCCCCCTACTGGACAGCATCACTTACTGCATTTCCAAGTCCCATAGAGGATCAACTGGCTTCAAAAACAGTGTGCTAGTTGAGTTTTCCAAGCCATTGACATCTTACTATTCTCACCAAACATATCCTAGTATTCCAGAGCCACAGGAGCATGGGGGCAAACACTATACAGAATACTTCTCATGTTCCTCTCCAATACAAAGCACAATCTAAATGCTTTCCTCCCAGACTTCACTTTTATAAGCCTCTTCATTAATTACGGGGGCTGAGCTCATTCCATGGGAACCTATCCCAAAGGCCCTAAATCCTCATGTGGAATGCCCAGGTGTGTCCAGCTCAATAACGCACACCTGCTTCCAGATCCCTGCCTGCACAGAAGCCATCTTGGCTCAGAGAAACACCACAGCCTGGGCTTGAGCCAAAATGTGAGGTTTTTACCATGTGCTCTTTCTAAACCTATTAGCATACCATGATCTATTTCAGACGTAGATTAAGAGAGAAAGATAATGATTTGATTATCTTTTATACAGTACATACTCCATCATACATCTACAGATTTATAATTTTAACTCTTACATCACTTCACCGCCTAATATTATTTCTCTTCCTGTCAGTACATTTGTCAATGCCTGCTATGATGGAATGGTGTTCTCAGTTGATGACAGCACTGTTGACTCTCTCAAAGGAGATCTGCTTGCTTTTCCCAGTTGCTTGTTGTTGCGAAAATCCTTTTGTCCTTTGCTGCCTTTACCATACCCTCTCCTGACCTGACAGTGGGTACAATAAGGGCCCTGGGTAAGCTGATCTGATCTCCTCTTTGCCATCTCTAGTTCAGTTCCCGGCTGTGTCAGTATCTGTTCATGTTGCCACCTAAATCTCACATCTGACAGACCTGCTTGACAGAAGGAGAGCTCATTCTCTAGACTTGCTGGCCTTACACACTGTGTGAAATTTGGACTTTCTACCAGCCCCTATGTATGGAGGCTGGTTACTGTGGGCAGAACTTCATTAATTGACCAAAGAAGACATTTGATTCTTTGTTCTTCCATGTTCCCGATGTCAATCCTGGTCAATGATGGCTTCCTTATATCTTTCCTGCATATCCAGTTGCCCTGCTTCTTCATTTTCACTGCTCTATATTGCTGGCCCTCCTCATCCTTCCTCACCTTCCTCTGCTCCATGACCTGTCATTTTTTGGGTCAGGGGTTATACACCGCTGGCCCAGCCTACCCTGGCCCACTGACCCCACTATATCACTGTGATGCAGCCTTTACTCCAACTCCTTCAGTAGCACACTGGCTGTACTCTTGAAACCAGTTCTGATCACCTTAGTTGCTTTAAACTTTTCTAACACTGATCACATCCTTTGCTGTAATTTGATAGCTGTGCTGTAGAACCCAAATGAGCAAAAGCTCTTTGGAATACTCATCCATTATCTGAGAAAGATATTGATTTTCCTCTCCAGCGTCTCCATGATTGACAAAGCCACCTCATTGACCAGCAGAGGTCAATGGAGTCTACGAAGAACTCCATGATAATGCCAGGCCTTAAACTTGCCAGGAAGACCACTGCTTTCCAGAGATGTCATCAAAATATCAGCATGTATAAGCATTTTCTTCACACCTTGCTTATTGTTGATGTCATCTCTGTTGATGTCTCACCCAAGCTCTTAACTAGTTCTTGCCCACAGTGGGGATGGTATCTTCTTAAACCAGAGTCTCTTCTGAACTTTTGAAACTTCTGAATTTTGCATTAATTTGCATGAGCTAGGTCTAACCATAGGAATGCAAGGTCTCCTTGATTTGGTTTTGCACTTCCTTGCTCTTATAAACGATGCTAGCATGTTCCAGGCAGTCAGACACTCCTGAAACATCACCCATTTAAACACATCTATCAATAGAATTGTTATTCATAATCAGCCTAGTTAGCCTACTTGCCAAAATTGTGAAACAAATTCCACCTGCATTAAGAAGTGAAATGTTTTTGAAGTGCTTGTGGTTTGTTGAGTTCTGCTCTTTTGGTATGAAGCACATGTGTTGTCATATGGGGTGTGTTTGGCAGG